GTCAAGGCACTTACTTACGTAGATTCTGATTTTACAAATGTGCGTCGAGTAAGACCATGTAAATGTATAGGTTACAATGTTTTAACTATATTGAATTTAAAAAGTTTACCTTCATTTTTAATGTCCTATAGAACTTGTGCACAATTATGCAAGTCCCTTTAATTGTGACGTGTAAAAATTTATAAAAATAATTTTCTTCATTGATTTCTCTATAACTTGCATAAGAAATCTGACTCTCCTTATTTTTGATATATTGATGAATTTGAATATTTAATTGAAATGTAAATGAATTTAAAATAGTACCTTCGACGGAATTGTATACAAACAATCCTGACATATCAACATTTTAAAATAATTCAGAAAAAAAGGCATTTCCCAATTAACTGGCATTTTTGTTTTATTAAGCTGCACTATCAGTTTTAAACCTTTTTTGATCATCTTTTTTTTAATCGATAGGGTGTACTCCTGTGTTCATCTTTCTATCTGTATTAGCTTTTTTTGTAAAACAATATCTTTTATTATATGCATATAAGTATTTTATTATAATAATGGCATATAGCTTTAAAAATCATTTATTTCTTAGATCAAAAAAATATAATCGTTTTAATTACTTTTGGTTCGAACTTTTTCAACGAAACTTTGACGACTATATCATTCTTTATTAAGTAAAATAGAATAGAATAGAATAGAATAGAATAGAAATCATTTATTCAAATAAACTTACATTGAAGCACTTTTGAAAAGTCATTACATTTTTTTTAATTTACCGCTCGTTCGGAAAGCTGTCTCATCACAAGAAGAACGAGCAAGAAACTTGCGTGATGCTCTTTTAAATAATTTTATTATTATTTTACATTTTTAAGTTTAATTGTGTGAATACAAACCACCAATTAGCACTAATTCAATTAAATACTCAAAAAGAAAAAAAAAATTGAATACATAACCAACTGGTTAAACAATTAATAAGAGGAAATCAGTCATAGTGATTAGAGCAGACCAGTCCCTACAAGCAGCACCCGTTCACGAGTATGACGGATGAGCCAGCCATCACTGCGCTCGACCATATTTTAGGGAGCCCAATGACCCGGCCCACCACGCCGCCACAAGTCTGGACATTTTAGTGAGCATGACTACTCAAAACACTAGACCACGTCAAAGCTACTCACAATTGCCATCTGATAGTTATAGTATTCACATTTTACATAAGAATGCATGCGGCAATTAATACAAAAAACCGCTACGCTTTCATATTTCTAAAATTAATCAATTAAATCAAGAAAGCAATGAGAAAATAAAATTATAACGTTGTATGCTAATAAACTAATTATTTACTTGATATGTTGTCATCTATGAATTCGTCTATCCTGTAATAGGCTTTCTTACATAAAAATTGTTTAATATAAGATTTGAATTGCCTCTCTGTCAGATTTAATGCAGATTCCGGCAGTTTATTATAAAATCTTATGCAATTACCATAGAATGAATTACTGATTTTGTGCAGACGGCATTTAGGTAAAATAAGCTTATTTATATTGCGTAAGTTTCTACTTGTACAGTCTTTGAGTTTTTTAAAACTCGCTAAGTTCTTCCGTGTATACATAATATTTTCATAAATGTATTGTGAAGTAACTGTGAGGATATTTGAGTCTTTAAAGCACTGACGTAATGACTCTCTTGAACCCATACCATAAATAGAACGTATGGCTCTCTTTTGTAAAACAAATATAGTATTTATATCGGCTGCTTTACCCCACAGCAGTATGCCATAAGACATTATGCTATGGAAATAACTAAAATATACAAGTTTAGCCGTCGCCACGTCTGTTAATTGCCTAATTCTTCTAATTGCATATGCAGCAGAACTGAGTCTACTGGCCAATTTTGAAATATGGGGCCCCCATTGTAATTTCGAGTCCACTGTTATACCTAAAAAAACTGTATCATTAACAAAATTTACTATTTCGTCATTAAGCAATAACTGTGTATTTATTAGTCTTACATTAGGAAGTGTAAATTTTATACACTTTGTTTTGCTGGAATTTAATAATAGGTTATTACATGTAAACCAATTTAATATTGCAGACATAGCACAATTTACATCGTCTAATTGATTACTTTGACGTCCAATTTTAAACACTAACGAAGTATCATCCGCAAACAGCACTATATCTGCAATTTTCTCTACCATAAAGGGAAGGTCATTTATGTAGATTAAAAAGAGAAAGGGGCCTAAGATTGACCCTTGTGGAACGCCCATCTTAATATTAGCTCCCTTAGATTTTACACCGTCAATATCTACAGTTTGAACCCTATCCTCTAAATAAGTTCTCATTAATTTTAGATCATTATCTCTTATACCATAATGTTCGAGCTTGTACAAAAGCGTTTTATGATCCACACAATCAAATGCCTTTGATAGGTCACAAAAAACTCCGAGTGCATCCTGTGACCTCTCCCAAGATTCGAAAATATGTGTCATTAGCGCAACACCTGCGTCAGTGGTAGACTTGCCGGCGGTGAAACCATATTGCTGACTGTGAAGCAGTCCGTTAACCCTGAAGTGATGTAACATTTGATTTAACATTATCTTTTCAAACACCTTACTTAGAACTGGCAAAATAGATATAGGTCTATAGTTCCCTGGCTCAAATTTATCTCCTGATTTAAATAGTGGGATTAATTTGCTAAATTTCATTAAATGTGGAAAAACGCCATTATCAATACATTTATTAAAAATAGTGGCTAGATATGGAGCAACAATATCTATGAAAGAACTAACTACTTTTACAGACATGCCCCAAAGGTCTTCCGTATTTTTTAAATTTAGCTGTTTGAATATTTTTATGATATGAAAGGGGCTAACATGTGAAAATTTAAATCTTAAAGAACAACAACCGATATTAGTCTCTAGTAATTTTTTTGCTCGAGATTGAGATGAGTCCAGAGAAGATGTAATATCAATCGGAATATTAGCAAAAAAATCTTCAAAAATATTAACTACATCTTTTGTTGTTGTTATTAATTTATTATCATAATTTAATGTAAATTGATTACAGGCTATTTTAGATCTTCCAGTTTCTTTATTTATAATGCTCCAGATGGTTTTAATTTTGTCAGAAGACTGCTTAATTTGTTTATTAAAATAATTAGACTTAGCCATAATACAAACTTTTTTAAAAATTTTAGAATAATTTTTTACATAAGTGGTGAATTTGTCATCAAATCGATATTTTTTTTGATCGTATAAATCAAACAAAATATTTCTACTTTTAAGTATTCCTACTGTTGCCCATTCCGTGAATTTAGATTTAACATGAACTTCTTTTTTCTTGAAAAATTGTTCATATTCTCCGGATAAAATATTAATTAGCTTGGTGTAAAGATAATCAGGATTATTACTAGATTGTAACAGCAAATCCAATAAAGAATGATAACAACATCATATAAAGTTCCCAGAAATAAGCATTTCCTATACATTAGGTACATTATGTTACTTTTACCTTACTGACATTTTTATCACGAAAAAGTACCTTATACCTTAATATTCTTATAAGCAATTTATTGGTCTAGTGAATAGAACAACGTAACAAAAACTGAAGTGGAAAAAAACTGTTATCTCACGTCAATTGCCCGACAGAAATAGAATATTACTTTCACAAAAACAGATCAAGTGTAAATATAGCAAAATATTGTATTCAATCTAGATATTGTCGATAGCAAGATTGTATCAGTCACTAAGAACGACTTTATCATTACTATCGTGATAATATTTTTGACATAGTGCGTATAATGGTCGGTAGTAGTAGGTTTTATATAGTATAAATATAATCAAGTGATTAATAATTTTAAGGTCAATTTTTTATACACTAATAACTAAGACAAGATTATATAGTAATCATGATAAACTAAAGAAGCATCTAATCTATTTACTTCCTATCCAAAACAAGTGGATAATCGCTCTAACAAACCGAAGCGATAACAAACTGTGTCAAGAACGCATCAAAAAAATTAAAACTCAAGAACTATCGGTTACTGTTACTGACTACCATAGGTGACCAGGGACTTAGTGTAGTTGATGGTATAACTGCGCATCAGTATGTTTCGTCATCAGCATTATCACCTTTTTAATTATTTACTATCCACTACTAAACATATAGTCCCCTCATATACATACTGTCCCCATAAACATTCCATAAGGATCAGCAAAGTCTCACCGCTCACCGACAGCCTGCGTCACATTTTCATTTTTATAATTTTATCGTCAAATACATGGTGTGTTGCTAACCGGTTATTTTATATACTAGATTTAACAATTAATTAATAAATTATCTATACATTTTATGTATAGATAATTCATAAACAACATTATACTGTTGTAATAAAGATTTATCGTACAAATTGATGCAAGGTTCTCTGTTCTGCTTTTAATTACATCTAGACAGAAGCTGTCATGTCAAGAGATCCTTTTAGAATAGAACCCCTTCGTTCCGTTATAGCCTACTAAATCCAATCAGGAAAGAGCGTGTGACGTTCTACTTCGCTAACCCGCTACGTCACGCATATAATTGTTTCAGCAACTCTTTCCCCTCGTAAGAGGAAATTAGAACATCTGAATGGATCCACTTTACCTACCGGCGTTCACAATACTTGGAATACGATATTTTCGTATATAGCACTGAGCCACTGATGACGATAACGAACATAGCATAGTACAAGTCAGCGAAGTATTTGCCGCGAAGCTTCAGTTCAACGATAGCGCTCGCGGCTAATAGACGCCTCTATCATTATTGTAACTTGTAAAATTATATTCGTAACTGGGACCTGTGTTTGAATAAATTTTCGTTTGCAATTTATTTTCTTTTTTACTGTTGTTATTTTGTGAACTGTTTTGGGAAATGCGCGTGTGCGCCGAGAGACAAAGCGTTCGTTTCGCGTCGGCCCGTTGGTTGCGACGCCGTGCTGGAAAGATGGCAAATTCAATTGAAATGTTGCATTTGCAGTTCAAACGGATGTTGAACAAGGAGCTGAGCCATTTCTCCGAGTCGAGCAAGTCCGGAAACCAAATCTCGGAGTATATTTGCTCCACTTTCTTGGGTAAGTTACTTTATTTGGATTTTTTCTTTTTACTTTAGATTCGGCAACTTTAAGATTTGAGATTCTAATTGTTACTAATCATATTACATCTAACATTATTTGAAGATAATATAATCAAATAAAATGTATTAGTTTGACATATGGACACTGTTATAAGTATTGAAACTCAAATAGTATATACTACACGAGAGTATTAAACAGGATCGAGTCGGATATTTTCAAACGAAATATAATCAAATATATCTTCTTATCAATATCGAAGCAAATATTGGCATATAGGTTGTATTTATTGAACAGTTTTACCATATCTCTGTTATCACAAGAAATATAACAAAAAAATATGTTTTAATCTTAAGTTTAATGGATAGTCAGGGATATTTATTTAATGATCTCTGCTCTAATGAACATAAAATTCGACTTATCCATAATTTAATACTAATATAATTCAATACTATAATACAAGCATATCTGTAACTAAGAGCATTATCACAGGAAACTTGGTCGGATATTTAATTGACACAAAATATTGGAGTCAGTCCAAATAGATCCACTACCACAAAGATGTTTTTAAATCAAGGTAGTAAACAACTAGGCCAAAACACTCTCAGAAGAAAAATATATTTATATTATTACTGCAATGCGATATTAAAGATATCGTTTTTATTATAAACACTGAAAACAAATGAACATTTCAGGTATAATAGTAGTATTTTAGTAACTAGATATTTTAGTAAATATTTTTCTTAATAATAATAAATTCTTAAGTATAGTATCTAAATAATAAATCGAAGATATCAAATGTATCGAATATACGTTCATATTAAATAAAATGCAAATATAAATAAAGTCTTTATAAAGAGATGTACGATTGTAATATTTTTAACGACAAAAACCAACATGAATTAATTATTAGTAAAACGTGAACGTAAAGATTTTTTTTTTAAATAAAATAATGGAAATTAGTTTATTAAAAAATATTGATCAATTATTGAAACTGGCCTTTAAAATCAATTTAACTAACGTAAAAAAATAATTTTATATAATATATATAATTAGAGTGAGTGTTTATTTCAAATATCTTAATAGATGTATTACGGCAAATGTAATAATATTAAAATAAAATTAGTCAAACGCTAACGATAATTGATATAGGTTCTTGCTAAAAGGTATAATTACAAATAGAACCTCATTCTATTAATTACTTACTCACACAGCAATGCGTCACAGGGGTTCAAACAATATAAAAAATTCAAAAGTTTATTCTCTGTGACCGAATGACGTCAAAGCCCTTAATTCGCCGCCGCTACGTCGCCGCCGCCCGCCCTAATGTTAATATTATCAACGCCCTCTAAGTAGGTTCCGATTAAGTATTTACAAAGTAATCATTCCATCACAAGCATTTATTCTCTTTACATGCATTATATGTCATTTCACTTACTGTCCTGTTACACAGTTACAATTTCGTGCTGAACTAAAGCGAACTTATTTATTGTGACAATCTAAACTTAAATAGACCCCTGTATAGTGTAGTGATTTCTGGTCAAATATTGTTTTTTTTTTATTTTGCATAAAAACTGTAAGTATGTTACCGGTGCCTTCTAGAAATTTCTCTTAATATCGTGTCAAGACTACAACAACTCGGACATTAGACAATTACTATATTTTTATATGACTTAGAATAGCAATCGAGTTAATGGAAAGCGGTAACCGTCACTTGTAAACATGAACATCACTATGAACGTCACAAACAATAAAATAGACTATGGCGCCCAATGTACCTACCCCTCATATATTGCCATAGCTACATATGTCAATATGATCCCATCAATACTAGATAATACCAGTTATATATACTATCTTCACAAACTCCCGAATATTCTGCCCGTAACTGCTATGGTTTATTTATACCTATATACCTTGTATATATTATACTAGATATGGTAGACAGGTATTAATTAGAGAAGTTGTTAGATCAATTAGAGAGATTGACTTATTGCTTCGATGGTTATTAGGTATTGTGTGACTGTTGTCATTTAATTAATACATTATATAACATAATACTATTTGAAGTACTTACACTCCTTTATCGAGTTGCGTGCTGATTTCATTATACTTAAATAATATCAATATAATATTACTATCATTGATAACATCAAATTACTTTTGATATACTCGTATAGCCGTACAAACAGAATGTTGTTGTTATTGCAAAGCTTATTTATGACTCCCCTCTGTAGAGAACTATCTACGCATAATTCTAACAGCAATAGCGACTATAGTTGTCAACTTTCATTTTTATTTAACATCAGTAAATAAGTAAATATACTCATAAAAATAATCGCCAATAGAATAGTAAGAGGCATTTCTGAACTATTGCTTTTGGTGAACATAATAAACGTAACGTTTTAATTAAAAAAAAAATAGTCTCTGACATGCACGGGTAGCATTGCCTTAATCTTCAGAAGATTGCACTTACCGTAAGAAAGGCTGTCAGCTGTGTTGGCCTCTATAGCGTTGCTTAAAAAAAATATTATTAAATTTACACGAGTAATTAGAATGAAGTAAAAGATCGTTGTATTTATATATAGTGATTAAATAATGAATAATCTTTTTTTAAATTGGTGATAATGGAATGGTAACCCCGCCTGCGCTATCGGTATACGCTGTCAGGGAACCAGTAAGGGATGATAGGTGACGATGAGATGATGACAGTAAGTCAGTTAGCCCATCGTGACGAATTCCACTAGAATTTACCACGATGGTTTCCAGGGAGAACCGCGTGAAGGTCGACCTGATAGTATATTGTTAGCAATGGGTCAGTTAAACCCTAACAATCGCTTAATTACTAACAATCGCTTTCTCCCCGAATAATACTCATTGTAAATCTATTCACCATGCTAACAAGAGTAATTTTGAATTAAATTACTACTCATATATATATACCTATAAAAAAAAAACATAAACTCGAAAAGCTTGAAATGCAAACAAGTTCTGAAAAGTAACAGTTTCTGTTTGTCAGTTAATAGCCATTAGCTATATATAATAATGCGAGTATATCTATCTGTTATGTATCATCTTACTATCATTGTAGTGTACAGAAATAGTTTTATCTGCCGGTAATAAAAACGGGTTGTGACCCCTACGCGCACGCGTATTTACTTGACAACAACAACATTAATCTACTAATATACCAGCTGCCATTTTGTTATCACTGCATAACATGATACGAGACGTGTCCTTGCATGTCAGTAGGTATAGAAAAAAAATGGAGTAACCATAGCACACCACTTTGTAATTAAACTAAATTTTATGAAGTAAATGCCAAATCTTAAATTTTTACATATAATATTATAATTTTTCCTTAATTACATTTTATTTTTATTTTTTTTTTTATTCAACGTTGTATTAGTATTAAAATGATGGCCCACCTAATGAAAAGTAGAGATTACCGCCTATAGATACGAGTATGAACAACACACGCAAGAAAATTTGAATTCTGACATTCATCGTAACCTACATACGTTGCTAGTACTGAAGTCCACGAGATGCTTTTGAAGTATTTTGTGGTCATATCTCACCTTTCAACCCAAAACACAATTTTTTGGTAAAATACAAATAGATATAATAAAGATACCCTATTATGCAGGTAATTTAATAAAAAAGGCATATTTTCAAGGTGTGATGCCCCCACCCAACTAACAAAAACCGAAAGAAGAAACAGAAACCGAATATTAAGCTTATTAGTATAAATGAAAATTTGGATAATGTGTTTGCAAGATCTATTGCCATTCCTTAAAACTAAGTAGTTTGTTCTGTCCAATATTACTCTGACTATGTTATATCATAAACCGAAACGACAATACATTTATTAATACTTTTCAACAGAAATATATTTAAATTTTACATGCGTTATGCATGTAGCTACATAACTGTCTGTGCTACGCCTATCGAGGCGAATTACACGATCTCTTATTATGTACAACGTCCTTATTATGAACTCTATCATGATAAAATTATTATATTTCGGCGTAAAAAAAGTGTACTTATATGTCTTATATTATTATATTTACTAAATTTTTTTGTATACCTAAATACACACTCAATCCTCAGAGTAAATTGCGATAGCAAAATGTAGCTGTTTACATGGATTATTTAAAAATTTCACATTAAAAGTCATACATATATACATTATATGTATTATAATGGAAATTATTGGTACGCATACAACCATACATAAGATAGACGACGCAAGTTCGTCGTTCGATGATAATTTCCTTGATGTGTTGATAGTAAACATTCAGTAAACTTTTTTTGAAAATACCAGCTGTAATGTTTGTTTTTATTAATTCTCTGAACTCGAAATCAAACTTTAACTAGTCCAATTCTCTTGAGTTTATTTTAAAGTCCTAAATTTGCTTAGTGCAACAAATCTCATGAAATATTAAACCAATCCAAGTAAATTAAACATCAGAAAATATAGATGGGTATAAATTTAATGTATTTAATCAAAGCTGTAGACAACTACGTCTATAGTAAACAAGTTTTTAAAATTAAACGACTGTATAGAATGAATTGTAGCAATTGATGAGCGCTACCGTAAACATGTTCAGTATAAATCAACAACTCCATAGGTTCTACTATTCATTTATTTAGATTCATGCCCACAATTTACTGAAACAATGGAGATAATGTTATTTAAAATAAATAAAGTAGATAATGTAGATTACATAAATAAAACATTGTTTTGATATTTCTCTTCAGAAAGGTGGGTATATGAACTAGTTTTTATCTTTCTGTATGTAATAGGTACATATTTGCAATTTGTACGTATAATACCAGCCATCAAAAGTACTAGCTTTCTGATTTTTGATAATCTCTCTCTACTTTTAAGCATATTGAAAAGTATTTATTAAGTACGGGTTTGATATTCTATCGCTCATTATTGAGGCCTTTTTTACCGGTCTTCTTGCTAGACGCTTATGACTGATTTCAAAATATACTATAATATTTATTAACAGAACAAGATATCGACCGAATAAAAAAAATCGATTAAATATAGCAACTTTTGCTACAAGTTTTACTAAATTGTTATTTTCGATGTCCCAAACCAACGAATTATTGAAACAAAATAAAAATTAGAAACGAATTTTTAAAACCACTAAGTTTCTGGTTTAAAAGTCCTTATTTAAGACCAATTAATAAGTGTAATGTTATCTAACACATTATTATTGTAGAGATAATAAGTTATATGAGTATGCAAATATTATTAACTTCATTAAACTCGCACGAAATGATACAGTTAGTATCTACGCTTTCGTGCGACCTACTGACATGTGTTTTTGCTACATTTCCCATATCTTGTCACGTTTTATAATAAAAAATATGAACTTACGTAAATTATATTACAGTATAATGCTATATAAATGACGCACAAAATATAAAAATACTGTTATTTTGTACTAGATTTTCATCCCTATTACTCTTACAAATACATTACATACGATTCAAATCATATTAAATCTGTCAAACCGTTGTATCGATATTGAATCACAAGATCTACTCAAACATTAATATATGAGTTTTAATTTATTTTAATTCTTCTTTGTGTATACATAATTATATTTATAAACTGTATTCAATTAAATTTTAATATTATCATTTAATCTTTTGAACACTCAATGATATATATAATACATATTCGTATATTCGTACATATTGTAAATATTCATAATTTTTTTTTTTTTTATAATTTATGTGTAATATTGAAGTGGGACATGTTACTATCACAGATATGTTTATCAGATAGATAGTGATAACGTTGTGACGAGATTAAATTACACAAGACGTAATATAAACAAAAGAGTATTTCGGGGTAATTAACTTAATAATTGCACGAATAAAAAATTAAAATTTTCCGATTTCCAAATATAATATGTATATTACAAGAAGTAAAGTTATAACAAAACAACAAAAAAGATAATACTTAATGCGTAGTGAAATATATGTTATTCTAAATATATGTCATAAATTACAGAAATATTTTGCCTATTATTATTATTTTGCGCATAGAGATAGTTTATGCGCATTTCTATTCTACAGATTGTATGGACAAGCCGCAACATTCTGCTTTCATACCATTATCTATAAATTAAAAATCCACCTATACCACTTTGATAAATACTGGTCCACTACTATTTTTCCCAAAAATCAATATCAATTCAGATATCGCGTAACGTATGCAAAAAATATCATACCTAGAAATACGAACCAAATGCTTTTTGAAACACTTAACAATACGTCACACACAATGTCCAAAATGTTATCATCAATCAAACATTATCAACGTTACATGTTCGCCTACTTTTTTTCGGCACATATACCCATTGGCATAGTTTTAGAAAAGTGATAAATATCGAAACTATCTATCTAATGGCCACTTACCTGGCTATTTCTAGACTATTTGTTCAGCTTTTAGATTTATTACGAAACGATTTTGGGTCATTGGAACAATAGGTATTCCACATATTTCGCTTTAATGATTAAATGCGTCTGAATTATTAATATCGATATCGGATTTATATCAGTTTTTATGAAGAAAGTTTTTAGGTCAACACTAAATCAGATAATATAATCTAATTACTTACTAATTAATATAATATAATTAATTACCTATAACAAAATACAAAAAAAAACTCATTTTGAATTTATCATATTCCTTTCTAGTACTTTTTTATAAAAGCTAGTCTTGCTATAAAAAAGACCTGATAAAAAACGCCTTATCATGACTACTCCCTTTTTGTATAAACTCCGACTAACACTTTAAAGTTAAGGGACCATTCTCGTAATAATTTCAAAGAAACCTGATTATAATCAAAATATAGACATATCGAATGTTATATAAGGAAACAAATATAAAATAGTTTAGCTAACTTTCGAGTATCATAAACATAAGTACCTTTAATCATAAATGTAATATTTTTACTTTCAGACAAGCAGCAAGAACTCGACTTACCTTCATTGCAAGTTGATGAGAGCTCTGAACGTGCCAAGAAAAAGGAAAAACCCCGTCACAGCGGTCCTGGAACAACCATGTCACAAGTAAGTTATCTCTGAATATTATTAAAATTATCAATTTGAAGATTCATAATATGAAAAGAAAATTATACACCTGACTACAATAAGTCAACGACTAAGATCTTTTTTATCATATTATTAACGCGATGACTAATCTGATTATATTCTTATTTCACAGATATCTGGCGTCAAACGGACGTTGACTCATACAAACAGTTTTACGGGCGAACGAGTTCCAAGATATGGAGTTGAAACACCTCACGAAGAAGAACTTGGTCGACTTTTGGGTGAACTTGACCGTTGGGGAGTTGACATTTTCCGCATCGGTGACCTGTCGTGTGGCCGACCCCTTACTGCCGTCGCTTACGCTGCATTCACTTCCAGAGAGCTACTCACCACTTTACAAATTCCGGCACGCACATTCTTAGCCTTCGCTGTGACATTAGAAGAACATTACGTCCGTGATAATCCTTTCCATAACTCACTTCATGCTGCAGATGTTACACAATCAACAAATGTACTACTTAACACACCGGCTCTGGATGCCGTATTTACACCTATTGAAGTATGTGCAGCATTGTTTGCAGCTTGTGTACATGACGTAGACCATCCTGGCCTCACGAATCAGTTCCTGGTCAACTCTAGCTCAGAGCTGGCGCTTATGTATAATGACGAGTCTGTACTAGAAAATCACCATCTTGCCGTAGCGTTTAAATTACTTCAAAATGATGGATGTGACATATTTGTTAACTTGCATAAGAAGCAAAGACAAACACTACGAAAAATGGTCATAGATATGGTGCTTTCAACTGATATGTCGAAGCATATGAGTCTACTTGCAGACTTAAAGACTATGGTCGAAACAAAGAAAGTTGCTGGCAGCGGAGTATTACTATTAGACAATTACACAGATAGAATACAAGTTTTGGAGAATCTCGTACATTGTGCCGATCTTAGTAACCCTACGAAGCCATTACCTTTGTATAAGCGATGGGTAGCGTTACTCATGGAAGAATTCTTCCAACAAGGAGATCGTGAAAGAGAGCATGGCATGGACATTAGCCCTATGTGTGATAGGCATAATGCTACAATAGAAAAATCTCAAGTCGGTTTTATCGACTATATCGTGCACCCGCTGTGGGAAACATGGGCAGATCTTGTTCATCCGGATGCCCAAGATATTTTGGACACGCTAGAAGAGAACCGAGACTACTATCAAAGTATGATCCCACCGTCACCACCACCAGCGCCCATTCAAACGCATTCTTTACCTGACGATGATCGCCCCGAACAAATACGCTTTCAAGTAAGTATTAATAACCATTATTCGTTAGTTTTTAATATATTTTTTTATTTATGAAAGAATAATAGAATTTATTATATTCATTTAGATAGATACTTACTGTATGCGTAATGTGTAACTAGTAAATTTTCAGACTACTTTTATTAATAATATTATTTTTTTTTTGCGCCAAAGTTTGTAATGATAAAGGTGCGCTAATGCCACGTTAATTCTAGCTTCCCTATGTAATATCTAAATAAGAAATAACAAAATAGGTCCTTAAAAGTGAAAGGATGTAAATAAAGTATTTAACTTTATAAAGTTATTATTAATGACACGGAAGTTAAATAATATATAATATTAAAAGCAAAACCGATCAATGATGATCAGAAAAATTATATGCTCACTGATTAAGAATAGAGTCTAGTCTAAGAACAAAAGAAATGACAAGAGAGGTACACATCAATGCGTTTGCCTATGCATGTAAGGAGTTATTAAAGTAAATGAAGCAAAAGACGTATATAAAGATGTATGTAAGAGAGATAGAACATAACCACAATTTAATCGAATACAATAGATCCTTATATTTAGGTATTACGTATATTAACAAAACATTTTTTTCATCAGGTAACTCTAGAAGAAGGGGAAGGCTCAGAAGAATGCGAAGGAGAGGGCGACGGTGGAATGTGACGGAAACTACTGGGAATTTGTAAGAAACTCTCTGAGAAGATGCAGGTGTGGTGGAAGCTCTGGCAGTAAAGCGCAGAACCACGAGGAGCTGGGCAAGGCTGCCATCGAGGCAGGGCGATTTCTTGTTGGATAATAATAACACTTGTTGACGCTTAACGTCGAAATGAAACGATCTGCGGGTGTATCGTAACATTTCGATTATGATTATTTATATGTGATTATTATGCAATGTTGTTTAGAGTTACCTAACGACTAAATATGTCCCTCCAATGACTGTGTAACATTCAATTGTCTAGTGTTTTTACTATTGTTTCATTATGTCTAACCAAAGATATGGAAATCAATTCTTAAGTTCACAGAAATGTTCAATATCCCTGTAAGTAGATAGCATTCGGTTCGTAAATTTAAAGTCGTGTAAGTAGTTTTAGTCGCCGGCACCGTATATACCGGGTCGGCTAAGTAAGGACATTGAAAACGCTTATTAATTGGTATGAAAGGGTAATTTATATTGTCATATCATCCACTTTTCTCATATTTAATACGGGTTTGCGATAATGATGTTAATCACCAAAATATATTAACATGATAGGTATCCTAAATATAAATCTATTTTAAGGTAAATTTTAAAAATTGCCTTTCGGAGTTGTTGTTGTGTCTTTTTTCTGAATATATAATATTCGGCCAGCCTCTTACTGCGAAAAGACACGTTACCAAGTTCATCCTGTTAGATAGCTTTACTTGATTTCGTAATAGCACCACATTTCTTGTGAAGGATCGCTGGCGATCCCATTACTTTTTCTCTTTAGAATAGTGTATTATTTTGTAAATTACGTATTATACCTACTGTAGTTCTCTTTTACCCAAATATATAAAAGAAATTAGTCATGGATCCTTCAAGTAAAGGTTTTTGTGTATGCAACTAACGGCTTGAAGTGTTTGATTAAAGTTAAGTACTAACAAACGAGTGGTTTGCGACTAAGTTTTCTTTGAGTGAGTTCAAATGTTTTCTGAAGTTATTAAATAAGTGCAAACTGTAAAAGCACGCGGGCCGGGTCTTGCAATAGTACATACTAAGTAGATAGTTACAGAAGCACTCTCTCTTCGCACAACTCTCATATTCATCTCCTTGTGCTGTTTATATTAGTCATTCTTCGTTTTCACACATTCTGATATGTGATGGCTAATATTGACATTCTAGCAGCAGATCTGATCAAAGTACCCCACCCATTATACTTATTTCGTTTAATAGCCATATCTACCTATTATGTTTATAAACTATAAGTACTTCATTGTATTATTATAACATGTAAACGAATCTTTCGTTTAAAATAGAGTATTTATACTTAATAACCTGTATTATTTTTGCATTTCATTGTTATTCATCATCGTTGTTAATGTACTGTTTTATTATGAGCTGGTCTCTATGTTTTCATGTACTCAACAGATATTTATTGTGTATATCATTTTATTCTGGACATTAGGTAATTACATTTCGTTCAATGTTTTATTTCCTAGTTGAGTATTATTTTGTGAGTACTTTCTAAGTCATCATTAGCATTCATCTGAGTCGAGAATGAAGGTCCAATGTACATTATTTTCGTAGGTAATTTAAGATTTGATTCGGCGATCAAAAATATTTAAATACAGAATTTCGCCATGATGTCTTCAATATGGGAATGTATAGGATAGGATTTGGACATGAAAAAAAAATTAAAACGCTTAACTACTTGTGTGTTAAAATAGAGACATTACGCTTAGAACGTTTGTTTTCTAATGTATATGTATTCGTAACGAAATTGTGTTGAATAATGTTCGTACTACAGTAGATCTGTGTATAACACGTACGTACCCAATCTTTCGTAACTTCGTAACTCACATGTGAACAAATTAAATGTATCTTCCTACCTATTTTCCTGGATATTGTGCCGATATAGTATTGTCCCATTTATGATATAATAATATTGTATCAATCCAGCCAACAAGCAATTTGCAATGTTGACAGTCACGTAACTAGACTTGTAACACTATGCTCGCAATTAAAACTTATTTCAATAGACCTAATTGCAATATTTATACACCTATCGACAGATTTAACCTACGACAGACAATCAAATCTATAGTTTGACACTTTATAAGACGTGCGAATAAGTAGAATTGCTTATAAAATGTCAAACTAAAGCACAATATCCCACGAATTCTTTAATTCGTGCGCCTACTTGACATGTCAAATACAAGCACCAGCTTCATTTTCGAGCGCAGTACCTACAAAATTACTGTTAAATCCAAACGTATATGGCATGTCACAATTCAATAGAATTTAGTATTACCTACTTAAGAATTATTATCAGATTTTTTTCGCCAAAGTGGTTTCAGTGTTGTGTAAAATGTTTTGTCAGTATGGAGAACTATCGCTAAGATTGGATAATACCTAGATAAATTAATAATACCAAGTTAAAAGTGTGCAATGCTGGTCATTTGCATTACTTTATTTATGTTTAAAATAAAAAAAAAATAGCTTGTAATAGTTTAAATGAATATTTGAGTTGAATTAAAAAATATTAATGTATTTAGAATAAAAAGATATGGGAGAAAACTCTAAAAGCTGTTTCATTATTTTCTTTCCTTATTCCCAGACTAGAGAGATTCATGCAACTTTCAAAAGAATTTATAAATCTCATGCTATTACGTACTCTTTACGGCGAACCAGAACGCTTTGGAGTCGACTTATTTATGGAACCACAAGGGTTCAGCTACATGCATATATAATGAATGTACAAAGTTTAAGAGCTCCAATGGGTATCCAACTGGTCTAAGATTTTGTAATGCAAGGAAAAATTCGACGATTAACAACCCTGAAAACTAGAGTAACTATATACATAATTACTCTAGTACATACGTACTATGTGTATGTTCTCAAACACATCACAGCAGCATCACTGAAATAACTTGAGTGAATAATGTTTGTGATGTAGCATTACCCGTTTGGAATATTTTTCATATTTTTGGGTAAAATTTTGTCTCTTGGAGAGATTTTGGAAAAATATAAATTATTGAAAAAATTTTTAGAGAAAAAAATTTAAACAGTACAAAGAATCTTTTATAATTTATTGTAGTATTTCGCCGCTTGAAAATGTATTATATCATCATATTATAAGAAAGTTCTAGACGTATTCTCTGATTTCTTGTTAAGTATTAAGATGAACTTGGAGTATATATAGTTTTAGAGTACCAAGTTTAAGGTAAAATTACTTAAAAATTTGTAATAAAAAATTTATAAGAAAATCCTACCATTTTGGAGAAAAAAAAAAATTTGGGGAGAAATAATCGGATATGGCAACACTGCGATGATGTCAGAGACAGTAAGAACACCGCAATTGATTACCTATAAATTAGCAATAAGCAAACACTGCTCGATCACTTCGTGATCAATTGTTAATTTGTCAAAATACCTATTTATTTTTAATGAATGATAATGGAATAGTAATACAGTGCTACCGGTATACGTGTATGTGTCATTGAGAAATGATAGGTGAGAATGAAATAAAATATATGTCAATTATTTTTTATGGGTTTATAATGGTATGGTAACACCGCTTATTCTTTCAGCTTACGCTGACGGGCTACCGTTTTTTCTTTATTTCATCTCATTTTTTCTTAAATAATATTATTCCTTTCTTTTTACCAATCACAAACTTTTATCCATTTTCATTTTCAAATAACCATTTTTACGAACGAAGAGAAAAAAACCCTCTCTGCACTATCCTTAGCATCATCTTTTTTATATAAATGGCAAACAAGCTAACGGCCTATCTGATTGAAAATGGTAACCGTCGCCTATAGATATGAATAGAACCATGGATACAGCAGAATACCCTGTGATGCCCATAATACATCTCATGCGTTACCGTTTGTGTGGAGGATGTTTTTTTAGAGCGAAACTACTACTGTTGAACGATCTTTACAGCTTCACCAGGTGCGTGCGTGAGTGAGTGCAAAGCCCGCGAAAGAGGAGGGACGAAAGCTAATTCGTACCAATGGATTACAGCTCATTGGCTCCAGAGGACATCGATTTACGCCGCTGTATTTCGACCATTGTTGAAGGACGGCGCGCCCAGGTGTTGCATGAACAATGTGATGGGGTCTTCGTCCCCGCCGGGTGGAATGGCGTCCATTGTGCAAATACATGTGTGTCGTGTGCGGAAAGATGGTTCTACGGTCTGCAATTATCATTAAATTGTTAGGGTTTAAGAGCACGGACCTCGAGCGATGGTGTTATGCTCTTGCACCCAGTAATTTTACTGTCATATACCACCTTTCAAACCGAAACACAACCATGTAAGCACAGCTAATTCACAGCAAAAACACAAGTGGAACAATGGTACCCAAGCAGAAGACTTTTGTAGAAAATGCCCCTCTGGTCTCATTACCTTCAACAATATATGATTATACTTATTAAATATGCAAAAATATTTCAATAAAACCCAAAACTTTTCATAATAATTTCATTTGAGCAAAAATTAATTCAACTTTAAAATTTGACTTTTTATCCAAAAATAAGAAACTATACCTAAATTAAGCCTGGCAAATTTAAAGAGCATTCATAATGAACCATTTTCAAGAACAGATAAATATTTTTCACACTTTCTGATTGTTTATTTAAAAAAGTGCTTTGATAGCGAAGTAAATAACATTAATTCTCTTAATCTTAAGTCATCTGGGAGCCTCCAGGTGAAGACACCAGTATATTTCAGAAGCTTTTATGAGAAATCGTTTACTGAGCAAATTGTTTGACTATGGAATAGTCTACCAACCTTTACATATACACTCGCGAGCAACCAAATCGACTCAACCCTTGACGGCGTACATATGCATTGATTTAACTAAAACGACAAATGTCAATTATAAAAATAATGTGTCATTCGAAAGCTGAAGAATTATGCTCTCATTTAACATCAATACCCAAAAAAAAACTTAAGCGCTGATTAATTGGCTTTGACGCATTTTAATTGGGCGTCAGGGAAAATTTACTCCATAAGGTATCCACGAGTTGCGCTCCCTGCCCCCATTATAAAACCCGCGCACACCCGATTTACCTTATCAGTCACTTATCACAAGTTGACCGGTACACATCTCAGTAAATACGTCGGCCTATGAATGGAGATGTAAGTTGGAATGGTCTCAGATTCCTCCATTGGTATACGAGGGTACTAAGATATCTTATACTGATAAAGCGAAAAACTTAGGACTTATCATGAATAGTACATTGTCACAGACCTCTCATATTAATGATATTAGTATACGGATGTACTTTTGATATCACTCTCTCAAACGTCTCCAATACTTTCTCCCTTTCAATACTAAAATTATGCTTACTCAATCTATTCTACTTCCCATTCTGGATTATGCCGACGTCTGTTTCTTTGGTGACCGAGGAGCTGCTAAATAGGCTTGAGCGGTTGCAAAATTTAGCGATAAGGTTTATTACAGCTTACGAAAATATGATCATGTCTCGGAATACCGCAGTCGTTTAAAATGGCTCCCAATCAGACAGCGTCATGAGACACATGTCATATATATATAATGATTTATAATTTATGTAAATATTTATTTTAATTTCCGTTTAGCACTACTACTGCCCGCCCACTACTTCCTATGCCACTGTGTTAGGTTGACTGGAAGAAATCTCTTTTAGAGAAAGTTTTAAGTTCGCCTTTGCGACATTGTTATTAACTTATTGTTGTTATCTCGCTGCGCAATCGACACTTTACGCGTGTTGATGTGCAGCAGGAACTGAGACATGTACGAGTGGTGGCTGTAAGCGAATGGATGAAGAGAAGATGCTTGAAGGAAGCCAACTTAATGTCAGAAAGGTCTGCAACGGACCTCAAATTGACTGCAGGTCATAGACAAGCGCGCCTTCAATTTGCTCGAGAGCATCTCAATTGGAGCGTTGCACATTGGCGGTCGGTACTGTTTACTGATGAGTGCAGAATGTGTCTGCATGACAGTGACAGGAGAGGCCGAGTTTACAGGCGTCTGGGAGAACGATTTTCCCAATGCTGTTTTGCTGAAACAGTGGCGTATAGCGGCGGCGGCATGATGTGGGCTGTTATTTCCTTAGAGGGAAAAACTGAGCTTATTTTCGTGCCTGGGGGCGGCCGAAAAGGCGGGCTAACAGCTGAACTGTTCATCACCGACATCCTACTCGATCATGTTGTGCCCTACGCAAGGTTTGTCGGCGAAGACTTCGTGTTAATGCACGACAATGCCCGCTGTCACACGGCACGAGTCACTCGGCAGTTTCTTGAAGAGGTCGAATTGTGCACGATGGACTGGCCTGCGCTCAGCCCGGATATGAATCCCACCGAGCACTTATAGGACGAGCTTAAAAGAAGAGTTCGGGCCAGGAATCTGAGAATTTAGTATTTTAAAATTGATTCGATTCATACGTTTACATCTAAATACTATATATATAATACAAGGAAAAATAAAAACTACACAGAAAGTCGAGGATTAAAACATATATAATTATGTAAGATCATTAAAAATGAACAGATCAAGGTCAAATTATCTATCTTTAATGATCTTAATGTCGATTTATTGTCAAGAAAAAAATAAAATTTCGCTTGCACAGGAATCAACATGCAATGGACAATCAACTGAAACCACCTTGTTCAAGATTACGGACAAGGACGAAAAAGCCTTGAGGACAAGCAAATAGCGCTATGTGCTTTCTTGACATTGAAAGCGCATTTGATTATACCCCTATTAGCTTTATTATACAAGGTCTCTCTCGAAAAGAGGTCAATGAAACATCCATCCAGTGAATAAAATCAGTAATAAAGGTTGTCTTTAAGAGATTGCCCTAGCGATAAGACCGCCTTTTGTACCTTTATGTGTATATTTCAATCTGTATTTATGTTACTGTATTTCATTTGAATTATTCACTTGTCATTGTATATTTTTATTTATGGTGCAATAAAGAGTTAAATAAATAATAAATAAATAAAATCAGTGCTCTTTCAACCGTATTATAAAAAGAAACCTTCAAGAAATAACACATGAAGTTTATGCCACTAGAGGATGTTCACAGGGAGGTGTTATATAGCCTCTTTTGTGGCTTCTAATAATCTACCAACTCTTGGAATGAATAACTGATGACCACATCAAAGTACAGAGTTATGCAGATGACCTTGTAATTATGGTCAGAGGTTTCTGTGAAGTTACCATATCAGAATGTATCCAAAAAGCTCTTAACATCATAATAAAACTAATAGAAACTAAACTGATAAATTTGTAATCATCCTATTTACTAAAAGAAAGAAAATAGAAAAACTAATAACGCCTACAGTAAATGGCAAAATTATCATCTTCTCCAAAGAAGTCAAGTAACTGGGCGAAACTATAAGTCGAAAACTGACATGGAGCCTACATATAGATAACATTATTTAAAAGGCTAAAGTCGCACTTGGCATTAGTCGTCACTTGGCTGGGTTAAGATGTGAGATAAGTCTTATAATCGCCCAATGACTATACCATGTCATGATGACTACACCGAGAGCAGCTCTAAAGGAATTATTGAGTTTAACACCCCTACATACATATCATACAGGTAAAGGCTAAATCCAGTATGCTTCAAAATAGTTTCCATAGTAAGAACTCATGGCAATCACAGACACTGAAAACCCTCCAAGAATTAACAAGGATCGATCCCATCATGGGAATACCAGAAGATGACATGATCACAGAATGCAATTTTAAAATATTCCAAATTTAAATATCTAAAAGAGACAAATGGAACAAAGATTAGGTACCTACCGTCTCACTCGGAACATAATCTAGTTTGGTTCACAGATGAATCTAAATAGAAGATAATATGGGATATGGTATTAGACCAATAATCCACAGCTCTTTAAACTTAACAAGTATGCTATAATCTTTCAGGTAGAAACTATAGCCATTGTGACATGTGTAAAATTAAATCTAAGTTATAACTACATAAATAACAAATTATTTATTTACTCGGATAATCAGCCAGCATTACTTGCACTTGACTCATACGAAATTAAATCAAAACTTATAAACATCTGCAAAATGTTATTAAATAACTTGAGCAGTAGAAATAACATTATCTTGAGATGGATCCCTGGTCACTGAAACATTCATGGAAATGAAACAGTTGACCGATTAGCAAAGAAAGGGGCAAAGAATTACTAAATAGGACCAAAACCTTATTACGGCATACCTCAAAACCTAAAACTCAGACACCCCCAACTCGAAAGCTTAGAAGTAGTAAATTATAGGTGGCTCTTGTTACCAGGGTTAAATTACTCGAAAACCCTAATTCAGAGATTTTTTAGAACATTACTCTAATAAATTAATTCCGTTGCGAAAAATTAATATGTGTGTATTAACAAAGGCAATCACTGGACATTGTAAACTAAACAAGCATATGGCCTAATTAGTCTTATTCCCAAAAAGTATTTGCAGATTTTGTCACAATGAAGATGAAACGCCGCAGCACTGAATTAGTGGACCACTCATACATAAACAATATATCTCCTTTGAAAAATACACTTTACATCCTGAGGAGAAAAAAAAACATCGCTACAAAAAAAAAACATTTTAAAATTTCTATTTATGATACGAATTAGCAACGAACTTTAAAAAAGGGCGAGCACAGAAGATCATGCAAAGGTCGCAGTGTCACAAGTTTTTCTGCCTGGAAAAAGCCCGTCTTTCAATAATAATAAAAATAGATTTGTAGATGGTTTTAGTTCTCATGAATTAAATCAAATCATAATTGTAACACTAAACTAATTTTTAAATAAGGCAACATTATCACTTTTTAAGAGTAGTAATGCACTTATCGAAATTGTAAAATAATTTATGCCACTACCTAGAAGCATCAACACAAAAAAATAAATTAATATCCAAAGTGTTATACAATCATTTATATTTATAATATTATCTAAAAGGTCGATATCGATGACTATCATAAATGAGTTATGTACTTTATATTATATTTTGCAGTGTAAAATTCAATGAAGTGGTTACATAAATTTCATCAAGTTTATTACTCAAAATGTATCACCAGTAGGTTTGTAAACTATATATAGTCGCAATATATGGATATTGGTCAAAAATTATAAATTTATATGTAGACCAGGCAAGCAAACTATAATTCAGTATTATGTGCTACAAGCAACATATGATTCCTCGAAGCCGTCCTACAGCCAACTCCCATAGATTAGAAAGCTGCGGACTGTGACATAGCAGTACTAATCGGACCGGCCAGTATTCAATATGGCACTCAAAGCGATACACTGAAACTTGTAAACCGATTTAATAACCGATACGCACGTATCAGTTTATCGCGTTGAATGCAATATTAGACGGACCTATTCGCACCGCTACTAGAATATAATTCGTTATAAGGTACATGCACGATAACGACATCTACAAGATGACGATAGCAGGTGAATAACATCTGATATAGACGTTATTAAAATCTAAATCAGATTCAATTCAAATACATCATGAGCGCGTATCTATTAATGCATTTTAGAAATAACAAAGCAATATATGTATTTCAATATTTGATTGATGGATGGTTCATCTAAAAAACTCTGGAGTTAAAGAAATATTTTTATGACTACTTCTTTCTATTACACTATATATTAATTTTGTAATGTATAATAAATTGTTTGGTAATTTTTTTTTTAAGTTATTGAAAGTAATAAATATATGTTTTAAATAACGTTAAACAATTCAAAACAAAATAAAATGAAAGGTGTGTGTAAGTGAGGCTGGGTAAGCCGTGCCTATCTCAAAATTGTTTGGTGCCCACCATACTGCCTTTTTTCCTTACCAAATACCAAAATATACAGTTACAATATCTGGTTAACTTATAAATACATTTTTTTTTATATAAAAATAACTAATACATATGCGTTTTGATAAATTACGCAGAATTAACAAAAATATAAATAAAGTGTTCAGTATGATATAATATATAGGTAAAACAAGCGACATATGTGACATAATTGTCAATAGACTTGAACTAATAAGTAAAAAAATTACAATTAATATAGTTAAGTATAATTAAAGTTCGTATGTATTATCTAACTAATTTACTGATTAAAATAGTAGCGGAGCTAATTTATATGCTGTACTATCAATTTTGATGAATTTGTAAAGTTAATTAAAATCCATTAAGGTTGTTCATACTATGATTCCTAGTATTTACTAATATGAAATGAAATTGAAATGTAAAAAATTATATGAAGATGAATAATATTTAAAATTATGAATATTTAATCATTTATTTACAATATATAAAAGTTTCCTTTTAAAATAAAAATAATTTTACATATACATATTTTTATTACAAATATTATAAATACAAATAGGACTGTTTTTCTTATATGCAAAGGAACGTGTATACGTAATAGTCGATATCGATGTAGACATATATAGATAATGGGCAACACTATGGTTAGTCATTTTTTTTTATAATTTTTATTGTGTTACTTCGAAAAGGTATCATGTATTTCATCTTCCAAGTTTCGTAAATATAAAGACGATATCTAGTGTTATAACTTAGTGATTTCTTTTATTTTTTGTGTTTAAAAGAAAAACTCATAAATTCGATCTTTTGTTCGTATCACAGAAATATTGAAAACGTAAACCATGGTAAAACTTACTACCGAATTGATACAAAATTCAATGCAATACATGAACCCATGTAAAGACCGGGAATTGGATCTTAGAGGTTAGGTTAATTTGTCATCATCTTTTATTTTTATATTTACTAGAAATAAAAACCAAGCCTGTTTCATGTTATATAAAGTGGTTATTAGCCGTCACGTCACAATAAACCCATGATATATTAGATTATTGTTACGCCTTAAACCCAAAAGTAGCCATGCCTGTTATTGCGTCTCGTATTATTTGTTGGAAGCAACCTGAAGTTTTACTGATTCTAACATATCGGAAATATTCCAGAATTTAGAATTCAATTTCAAAGTTTAAAAAATCAAAACTTGTCAAGGACAGAATTGAAATGCATACAGTATAAATTAATGTCATAAATTAAAATGTTAACGTTATTGTTTTATTCTAATTTACTTCCATATATTAAATTCCATATTTGCATACAGGCAAGTTCAAGAGAAGTACAAATATAATTTTAACTCTATTATTTTTTTATTGCAGGTTATAAAATTCCCCAAATTGAAAACTTGGGTGCCACATTAGATCAATTTGATACAATAGACTTTTCAGATAATGATATCAGAAAATTGGATGGTTTTCCTTTGCTTAAACGACTTAAATGTCTATTACTGAATAACAACAGAGTTGTGTGAGTTACTGTTTGTTGCTATTGTTAAATACCTATCATAATGACAAAATTTAACAACATACAATATTGTTACAGAAGAATAAGTGAGAATTTGGAACAATATATACCAAACTTGGAGTCACTTATATTGACAAACAACAACATTTCAGAACTTGGTGACTTGGATCCATTAGCTACTCTCCCAAAATTAAGAACTCTCTCACTAATGCATAACCCAGTTGTAAATAAGCAGCATTACAGGTATTATAATAACAACTATAATTAATATAAAAACTTGTATAGTTATTAATTATACTAACTTTTACCTACAACTTAGTCTATGTGACCAGGATATGTTTACTAAGCAGAATAAAAAGTAGAATATCCTTCATTCCATATAGCATATGTATATTAAACTTTGTAGTGATTAGTTAAGCCATTAAGGTGCTATAAGGTAGCAAATAAACTCACTTTCATAATTATAATATTGGTAAGGAGAACTAAGTAAGTTTTAGAACAACTAGAAACATTATTTCTGCACCAATATGATCATGTTTTTGCACATGTAATCAATCTAACTAATTTACATATTGCAAACAACATAATCATATGATATCAGGTAGGGGTGGTGGGGTACGGAACTTCAAGCCGCCTGGTCTACATGATAGATGTAGGCAAATGTCTATCTTAGATGGAAACTTACTGCTACAACAATCCACTGTCAAATATTTTGACTTGAATCTGGATAGAAAGGTTGACTTGGAGAGATCACACAAAAAATAGATCGACCTGTATTAATCTGCATCATTTGAACTGGTTAATTGGTAGACAATCATTGCAAAGTTAGCCTTGTAAAGTTATTATATATTATCAAACCAATATAGATTTATAATATTGACTTCGGCATTGAATAAACATCAATTTAATTTCAACAATTTCAGAATAATACTTTAAAAAATATTACATATTCACAATAGTTTACTAGAAAGAATGAAGTACACAAATATTTAGATATCTCAACAGTGAGTGAGGAAATAAACAAATCATGCATGACATACAAGCAGACTTCAACAATCAACAATCTAGCCCTAAAGCTTTTAGATACAATTGGTTGTGCATTCCACCTAAAAAGAGCTGACTTGACTAAATTATAAATGGACCGTTTATAGACATAATGGCAAGAGTGTTGCATTAATGGATGAGAAAGTCTCAAGAACTAAATACATATCATAATCAGTTATGATTATAGCCACTAAAAGGGCTGATGGCTAAGAGATATATATAAAAAAAATCCAATAGTTATGGGTGATGGGTTGAGGGACTTTAAAGCCACCTGGCCTGCTTGGTAAATGTAAACAAATGTCTAACTTGCTCAAATAGGAAGTCAGCTATGCTCAATAGTGAACCTAGGAGTTGTTATAGTTTAGAATAATTTATAGGTATACTAGTGACCTACCCTTATTTTTTTAGATTCAAGATGGTTAATTTAAAAAAAAAAAATTACAGACATTTTATTTTATGCTAAAGTATCTTTCGTAGGTAAAAATTTTTTTGTGTTTATCCATTACAAACAAAGAATTAAATATTTCCTTTTAATGTTTTTTAATAAAAATGTTTTTAGGGCATATCTTGCATACAAATTACCTGATTTACGACTGTTAGACTTCAGAAAAATTAAACAGAAAGAAAGAGAAGAGGCTAATAATTTGTTCAAGAGTAAAAAAGGGAAAGAAATACAAAAAGAAATTACAAGGAAAGCAAAAACATTCATACCCGGTGGTAATATGCCAGATCCTAAAGTAACCAGTAAGTATACATTTTAATTTTGAAAAATTTTGTGGTTAAGGGGGCTTTGTGAAACATTATTTATTAATTTATAGCAAAGTAACAGAATACAAATCAATACATGAAAAAAATAAATATATCAACACCACATCAAATTTGTTTTCCAGTAATTAATATTTGCAACATTCACTATTATAAACATTAGGAGAATAATGCACATAGATTTCAATTAATAAACAGACAGTTTTTAACAACATACATTATTATTAATTAAACTGTAGTATCTCTTTACTATTTTTGCAATTCATCTGGGTTTCTTCAAAATCACATTCATTTTGAGGAAGTCCAAGAAACTTAAAAAAAATTCTGTATTCTTTTATTATGATTGATATAATAAAGCAAATTGACATTAACTAATTTGTAATATATATATTAAAAAAAATCATTACAGATTTGTAATTCTAAATATTTGTAAGTATTACATAGTCTATTATTTTCATTTTTATGTATAATATAGTATATTTTATATATGTTTAAGTATATTTGATATATACATTTATTTGTTTATCTTTATAATTTTTAGTAATTAAGTATGTATATCAAATTTTTATATAAATATTTTCAAGTATTCTAACATTTCCCTGAGTTGACTGAGATAGAATGCTTTTAACATTATGTCTGTTATGTAAACATACCTGTATCAAAGAATAAATAAAAAAAATAACATCATTTTATCACCATAATTAAATAACTTATAATGGATACACATGTTATATGCCTATTAGAAATGGTTTTATAGAAAACACCTCAGAATTGACCCTATACTATGCCAACCCCAAATAATGGGATAAAAACAATAATTTTACTAATTATGAACAAAATTCAATTAATACTTGTATATTTATGATTTGAATAATAATACTAAAAGAAATTTGTTTAATTTTCAGACCTAACCCCACAAGAAATACACAAGATCAGGGAAGCAATTAAAAACGCATCTTCTTTGCAAGAGGTTGAGAGGTTGACAAGGATGTTACAATCTGGACAAATTCCTGGACAAAAACCATTACAACCACAAACACAAACCAATGGTCAACGTAAGTTTTATTTTTATTATTTATCTACCATAGTAAAGATTTTAAGAGAAGCAAAATCAGTTCTGAGATACTTCAGAACTTTGGGAATAATTATCTAAAATCCTGAAAATTAAATCCTTAATGTAATATAATAATTTAGTCAGATACAAAAAAGATACATATAACTTTTGTTCCTTTAATCTTGACAAAAGGACTATTGCGGGTTCATATAAAAAGGTTAAACATTTTTAATATAACAAAATGTTTCATGATTCCAGAAGATGATGAGGAGATGGAAACAGATCAAACTAATGGACAGTAACAGGCAAGATATATAAACTAAAAAGAACAGATACTTTAAGTTGTAAAAGCAGATACTACTTTTTAATTTCTTGTATTAATAATATATTTAAGATAAACTAAGCTGGTAAGAACAGAATATGACTACACATTATTTTTCGATTGTCTAAACAGACCACTCAACCAATCTTCGGAAAAAGCCTTTCAAATGTTACATTTGAAATCCTTAAAAAGAGATGGTTCTTGTTTTGATTTCCAAAGATATTGTTTACCCTATGGTAAACCATCTATATGGTTTGGTCAGACTTTCGATGATCAACCAAACAATGAGATCATGTAATTTAAATATGATATATTTAGCTTAAGGCAGATACTATACTACAGTGACACTAAATTCAGTCTGAAATGAACAGATGCTAATATAGGAGCATATATACCTGAGTGTGATATGTCTCATACCCATATCAGTTTGATACATGAATGAATAACATTCAGTACTGTGTTCAAGGTGAACATAATATACCTATCTTATTTATTTATTGTTTATGGCACAATAAAATTTCTACAAATAGGAAGCTTCATTCCGTATCATAACTACATTACTGATCGCCAAAATGTGAAGTGATTACTACATACTACTAAATAAAATGCATTTTTCTTATATGTCATTGTTTTATTTCATAGTCAAAAATTAATTCAATAATCAACAAATTCAATCAAAAATTCAAGATCATACAATTAGATTATTATTTAAAAAAATTTCACTAGCTTTTTTATATAATAATTCCTCATCGCCAGCATCTAAGAAAATTGAATATATAATAGGTAGTATAATTATCCGTCCCATAAGATCCTTTATTGTGGGCCGTTTTTCAGGTAAAATTGACAACATTGAGTCTACCAGATCTTGCATTCTTCTTTCATAAATTGACAAGTCAATAGGATGTACACTCCCAGTTGTAATAGCTTTAACCAAACCCACCAAAGTCTGAAAGCGTTATAGTTATAATTAATATGCAGTGCCCTTTAGCTACTTCTGTCTAACCCAATTACAATAAAAGATAAAAAGTAAAAACTGAACTAGTTAAAGTATTAGATGCAATCTAACAGGTATAGTTTAATACTGTATATTATATATCTACTTAGGTATATAAAAGAGTTATTTTGAATGAGTTTACAAATAGTAAAGCTCTTAGATAATTTCCTTATGTTACGAGCATTTCTTCGCCAATCTGAACCGATTTTGATAAAAGGAAATTATTAGCTTTTAAATTGCCGACACAACTTTTAAACCAACGATTATTAATTCTTTTTATTTATTTATTATCTATAATATCTATTTGAGGTTATTAAATATGTAAATATTACGTACCTCGGACTCGAAAGCTCTCTTATGAGTGCACATCTCGTACAATAAGCAACCAAGAGCCCAAACGTCACTTTTAGTGTCGTAAGGTTTTCCCTCACATAGTTCCGGTGCCAAATAGTACGGAGTACCAATAACAGTAGACGTTTTTTTTGCACTGAAAATGAAGATTACAACAACAAAGTATATAGCTAAACCTGAAAATGAAATGATGACCTTTCCTACACTGATCTACGCTGGCAGGGTACTCTTAAAATAGAGAAAAATGTTCTGTGAAGATGACCAGTATGGGATTATGATAGGTGAAGATATAAGATCAGGACGGTTCGACTATCCTGACGAATTCAATGGTAATTTTACTAAGACAATTTATCGGAGCGCGTGGAGGTCAATTTATTATGTTTATTAAGTATTGGGTATAATCCCTCCCAATAACTACGCAGTTTGCTTCTAAATATTAATAAAAATCTCATCTCATCTCACTAACAATGTTCGATCATAATAATCTCCGAAACATAAAAAAACCGACCAACATGACACATATGATAGTTTTTTGAGAGGATAGTTTTTATCCCAATATGAAAATAAGGTCCGAAACGTTTGCCAGGTCTTTTTATTGAATGATAATGGAATGGTACTTCCGCCTACGCTAACGGTATACGCTGCTGGGGCCCCAGTGAGAAATAAATAATACGTGAAAATGAAAAAGCAGATCAGTTGGCCCTGTTTTCCAAAGGGAATCATGTGGAAGTCATCCTGTTAAGGTATATTGTTAGCAATGGGAGTAATAATCCGAATTATTAACAATCCCTCCTCCGGAGGGAAAAGGATTGTTAGTAATGAGATTTAACAGCCCCATTGCTAGCAATACACCCTATCAGGCCGACCTCAACGCGGTTCCTCCTGGAAACCATAGTGGTTAATTCTTGTTCAATTTGTCACTATGGACCAACTGACCTGCCTTCATCCTCACCTGTCACCCTTCACGGATACCCCGCTAGCATATGCCGATAGCGCAGGCAAGGGTGCCATTTTATATTCACACATTAAAAAAAAATAATCAACCCCCTCCCCCCCAAGTTTGCCAGATTAGCTATTATTGCTGCGAACTCTATTGCTCGTATTTGCCTACCTTTAATCATTTATATAATTTTAAATCGTATACAGTAAGAGCATCTTCTGTAAGCAAGTTGAAGTACGTAAAGTTTGACTTTAATAAATATAAATAGTTGATAAAATTTGCAAAATTTTTCAGTCTTACCTTGCTAACATTTTCGAAATACCGAAATCGCCTATCTTTACCAGCACACCATACTTCCCCATTAATAATATGTTCTCCGCTTTTAAATCTCTGTGAATTATATTCAAATTATGAATATAATTAACTCCCAATAGTACTTGGCTAAAATAAAAAAGTATTTCCTGTAACAAAGACGTTTTTTAGATTAGTGACTATACATAGTACACAGGCTCCCTTCTTCAATCTACGTAATATGCCTACAAAGGTAAAATATAATCTCCAGTTTAAATATCTAAAATAATAGATTGATAGCAAATAAGCATTTTGCTAATAGATCCTACCTATAAAAAGATTAAACATGTGATCTTTGTAATATAAAAAAGTAACCTTTCTTGTTAAGTACATCGATAATTAAACAGATGCATCATGTTGTTTCTTGATTTATAATAGTGTAATAAATAATAAACTCACTTCTTGTTTCATTAGTTTCGGAAATCGTTGGTACATGTATTCCGCTAGATTTCCATTATTAGCATATTCCATATTTATCATAACGTAATTATCCGTGTAGTAACAATCATAGAACCTAATTATATTCGGATGTTTTAATGAAGATAAAATTTTTGCTTCATTTGCAATGTCCTAGAAGAAAATAAGATTTATTTACGTTAGCGATGCATTCATGCTTCACTCTTTTTTTTTCAATGGGTGATGATGGAATAGTATCAATATATATCGCCTGCGCCATCAATATACACTGGCGTGGCACCAGTGAGTGATGATAGGTAAGGATGAAAAGACAGGTCAGTTAACCCACCGTGATGAATACACTTGAAATTCAGCACGATAGTTTCTAAGGGGAACCACGTGGAGGTTGACCTGGTTGGGTATATTGTTAGCAATGGAGCCCTTAGTCTCCATTATTAACAATCCCTCCCCCTATGTCTCACTGTTAGGCACAATAATCTATAACAATGATTTCCAGATAACTCCTATAGGGTTTTACTTTGAATTTTCCTCCTTTTGTACTGATAATTCCTTGACTCTCTTTGACAGAGGGTTAATAATACAGTCTCAGCTTGTGGGTTTTTAAATTATATACAAGTGGAAACAGGTATCCTTTCGGTATGGTTAGAACAACCATAATTTAAGTAACAAATATTATAACCTCGTGGCCCATGCAGGTAAAGGATATTCTTTCGCGGACATTTCTTTCATGTTCACTTCGTTTTCCCAGACTTTTAAGTCTGAGAGGTTCTATACTATTATCTGCGAAACCATAAAAGGTACTTACCTGCATGTGGTCTTGAATTCTTAAATTTAATTCAATGTCTTTAACAATACTTAAATTACCAGTTATTCTATTTTCACATAAATATACATTCCTGAAAAAAAAAACAAAATGTAGTGCCGCTATACTAGTATATTACATAATATACCAGAGGTAAACTGTACAAAAGTCGTTTTCTTAGTTACTTGTGTCCTATTCGTGTTTCTACCGTGAAGCAATTGTGTTTTCATGGCTGTGTTTCGGTTTAAAGGGTGGGATATGGCAGTGAATTTACAGGGTACAGAGGAATAACACCTGAGTCCTCAGGAATGACAACGCATGTGTGGTATCATAGGCGAAACAGTATACTCTGTTATGTCCATGGTATTGCTTATGTTTATAGGCGACGGTTACCATTTTCCATCAGGTGGGCCGTCAGCTTGTTCGTTATTCTAAGTTGCATAAAAAAATTAATTATATTAATAAGAATAGTTAAAATACAGTATCTAAGGAAAAGTAATAGTCAAGTTTTCACGAGATCAACGTGCATGCATATAAGACAAGCAATAAAAATGATGAAATAAGAGACAGTCGCTCTCTTCTCCATATGTAACGTCGTACAGTATCTCATAAATTAAAATTTCAGTCCCATCTTTAACAATAAAATCTTTATTCTATAGATCAATATGATTTTTTTATATGATATGAGTGTTTACTTTTACCTAAAAAGTTACAGTATTATTAAGTATCTAGTTGCAGCAATATAGATAATACTGCATCAAACAATTTGTTTTTATAACTGCAAATGGAATTGTAAACCGGCCTGCGCTATCAGTATACGCTGGCGAGGCAACAGTAGGAAATGAAGAAGAGAGTAAGTAAGAAGTAAAGATGAAGAGTTTAATAACAATATGTATTTAATAATAACGCAGTCTATCAGGGATTCCAAGAGCAATCCGCACGGAGGCCGACGTGATAGGGTATATTGCTAGCAATGGAACCGTCTAATAAGCAATGGAAGGGCTAAGCTTATTACTAACAATTCCTTTACTCCTATCATTGTTTATTATTTCCTACACCTACCTACAATACCAGAGGACAGCACAAATATTGTCTAGACAAATGACAATTCATAGATTCTTTTGCAATAACGTTTCCATCGATGGATTAGTTAGCTACTTAACTATCTAGGGGGGAAGGATTCTTAGTGATACGGAGTACTAGTCCCATTGCTAGCAATATACGCTGTCAGGTCAACCTCCACGTGGTCCTCCATGCAAACCATCGTGTTGAATTCCAGGTGAGTTCATCACGATAGGCTAGCTAACCTGCCTTTTCATTGTCAGTTATCTTCTTTCACTGAAGCCTTGCGAGGGTATACCGTTAGAGTAGGCAGGGTTACCATTCCATTATCATCCATTAAATATATTTAACTATCTAGAGAATTAAGTCAGACGGATGGGTAGTCGCAATATGAGTTTCTTTGTAACATTTGCTGTAAAACCTTTAAAAATTTTATAAAAACCACTCTTTGGAATCAACTTCCAGCAGCAGTATTTCCGAACCGATACGACAACATAACCTTCAAGAAAAGAGCATATTCCTTTTTAAAAGGCCGGCAGCACACCTGCAATGCCGTAGGTGTTGTGGGTGATCATGGGCGGCGGTAGTCACTTACCATCAGGTGAGCCGCATGCTCGTTTGCCCCCTGTGTTGTAAAAAAAAAAAAAAAAAAAAAAAAATTTAAATATTGATAATTTACTGTTTTTATCAGTGTTTGGTTTATATTGAGACATATCTGAAGGTAACAGTTTGATTAGTACCTACAATTTAGTTATCTGAGTAAATAGAATAATTATTCGTACGTACCCATAAGTTCCTTTTCCAATTGTCTTTAAAATCGTCAGATTACGTGCAGAAAATCGTTTTTTTGTTTCCATTATTTATTAGCTTATTATTTATTTATTAAATTGATCGAAGTAACTGGTCGAATTTTACATTTTTAATCTACCCTCATTAAAATTAATACAGGAACAGAAAATAACAGCCATAGAGTATTTTTTTTTCCTTTCTTATGGCACAGCACAAAGTGCATCCGCCAAAAACAAAGTTTGGGAAACAGCAACAGCCATAGAGTTCTTTTTTAAATTCATTAAACTTTGATCAGAAGCCAATAGTCAATAGCCATAGAGCCTAGAACCATAAGCGTAAAATAATACACTCGCTAAACTACACATCACTAATCTCACAAACAGTTTGTGACAGGCGAAAATTGCAGGATATTGGGACCGATTCTACACTACCACAACTCTGAACTTAATATTTTAATTTAATAATTTTGGGAAATTACTTTTAGACCATTATAAATTAAAATTACTTATAACAATTTTTAAAATCATTAAAATAAAGATTTCACTTAGATATCAAATTGAAATTTTAATTTTAAAGATAAAAAATTAGGACTTCAGAATGAGACATATGTTGTCATTTTTTTACTGTACTTTTACATGGATCAGGGGTTCCCAAACTTATTTTGTCTACTGCCCACTTTGAGAATAATTTTGCGCCCCCATTTTAGCACCTACTTTTTCACTTACTTTAAATTAAATTAATCAATTATTGTTTAAATTAATGAATTTTTCTTGGTCTCTTACCGCTCCCTTTAGACCTGCAGCGCCCCCTTTGTGGGCGCTGCAGGCCTAAAGGGGGGCGAGGTTAAAGGGGCGTTATCGCCCACTTTGGGGAAGACTGGCATAGTTATTTAATTTTTTTTCATCTGGCAACTCGATTAAATAAAATCGGAGATGCGTTAACATCTATTGTAATGTTTGTACATTTTTTTCATATTCTTTAATGAACACAGAACAATCAACTCTATCTAGACGAAATTATATCAACAAACAATTTGCAATCATTTTTTCCGTCAGGTGCTGATGTTGAAAAATACTAGACGGGGAAAACAGCTATATGAACTTTGAGAACAACTACTACGTAATTATATATTAAAGACATAAAACAATGTGATAGATGATTGTAAAAAATTAATTATTAAATTACAAAATTACAAATTATTGGTTGACATGGAAATATCATGTTATGACTTTCGCACATATTATCCTTAATGTATCTACGTTAACTTTTTTATCTGTGCAATATAAAATTTGTCATTGACAACTAATTGACATATTAAACATTTTCTGTACACTAGCCTGCTACAAATTGTCAAAAATAGCAATGATGGTTTATCTTTTGTCCTCTTTTTCCTAATTATATTTGTATAAGAAGAAAGGAGGCAACCAATTTACAATTTTTATTTTATCATTCCTTCTATGTAATTCCTTGTTCTTAGGGTTTTACCTATTTCGAAATCTTTGTGTTTTCTCTTGTATATGGGAAAGGCAAAAGGACTAATCCTATACAGCCATTGTCTTCAGTTTATACCAAGAACGCATTAATTTGATGTTATTTTCGAATTTGACGGTTCGCAAATTAAAGAGACTAGACATATCTAAAGTCAGATATGAAACCAATGAAATATAGTCTCTCTAATCTGTGATAGGAAACTGTCAATGTCAAACTGCACTACGTTGATTATTAGATTAAAGACTCCTCTATTGGTTGACAGTGTGGCCAGATTAGGTGATTTTTGCCTTTTAGGATATCTCAAAGTATGTCGGGTGACCGAAAATTGCGATTTGCGAATAGTCGCCATTTAGGCTTTCTTCAAAGTATGAAAAACATTTACTTATTCATTTAAGTAAAAATTACTCATTTTATTTATAGTTCTCTTAAAAGTATAACGAGCCATTTTAGCTAATTCATCTAATTTGTCATTTTTATTGGATAAAAATAGTCTATTCTATGCCATGTAGTCCCAGTATAGAATAGGTCATCCCTTCCTTTCTCATGGGTATTGCAAGAGGCGACGATACAAAAGCGAAGGATGGGGAGCAGCTTTCCTTTTAAAACATCGCCAAAACGTAACTGCAATTGTCAATCCGCTTTGCTTTTTTCAAGCGTAGCTACTACTGGCAAAATCTCCAAGGGGAAGCTTATGTTAAGTAGTGGATAATTAAAGGCCGATATGATGATGATGAATGGAATAGTAACTATAGGTGTATTTAGATGGGGACCAGGTGGTCCATGAATCGTTCCCAGAATCGTTATATACGCAACTTAGAATACCAACAAAGCTTTGCAAAAACATGTTAAGGGATCAAAAGTAACGGAAATTAATCTAAAATGCCCCAATGATAGTAACCCTGCTTGCGCTATCAGTGTTGGCTGGCAGCACACCAGTGAGGATGAAATCAGTCCAGTTAGCACATTGTAACGAATCCATCAAGAAACTTGTTTGTTTTGATTTCTACGGAGACCGCTACTGCTACCAATGGTGCCACTAATCTTCATCTTATTTAATACAATAAATGCAAAAGTTTGTAATAATGGATGGATGGACATTTATTATTCTTAACATGAACATAATTAAATCAAGTTTAGTTCACGGATAAGTTAAATTCTAACTTAGCACATAGAATACTTTATGTACTGTTTCACGCGGGTGGAATTACGGAATACAACAAGCTGTTAAACAATCAAAGCATTGAGTAGCATGGGAAGTAAAAAGCATATTGAACAGTGCGTACATCTACGATCCAGTAATATTATTACTTTTATTATTTCAGCCGTTAACAGTCCACTGTTGGACATAAACCTTTCCCATAATGGAAATTTTGCCAGTAGTTGCCATGCTTGGCAGGCGGGTTGCCAACTGCAGTTAGACTTTTAAAGATGTTTTATGAAGGACACTGCTGCGCGCCCATATATTATTAGTATTATTAGTTTATCCATCTGTTTGTCACAGTGTATCTCAACAACTATAGTGATATTCAATATAAATTTTAAATAGTTTTAGGTAATATTAGTCTACAGAGATTACAGAAGAACATTTTATTTTTTTCGCTAGGGTAGTCTAAATCGGGTATTAAAAATTTCAAAATTGGCCTTTCAGTCTAACTAGCATGTTATATAAAAGGGCTTTATTTGCTGATATTTTATGGTTCCGTATCAAAACGATACAAAGAAAACCTTATGTTGGGTGAAACTTGTCATAGCTCTTTATCTCAGTTAATAAGTTAAGAATGCTTATCAACTTCAAATTTGGCACCTAGTTTTTATTTTTTCAAAGAAAACAATAAAAATATAATTTATTTTCTTTATAGGCTCTAAAAGGGGTACTTAAAATTTCAAAATAACTACTAGTCCAACTAAGGTACCATGTAAAATAATTTTATATTTACATTTTAAAACTCTCTCTTATTTATTTTTATATTATATAGTTTTTGACTTATGACCAAAAAATAGTAAACAAAAATACAATTCCCCTACGTTTACCTTCGAAATTTACAGACCAAAAACTCTGAAATAATTACAGTTTATAAAGGTATATATAAATAGTATATTCAAATAAAATAATTTGTTTCTAACTAGTACAGTTTTTGAGAAATTATCAATAAACATCCAAAAACTAATTTAGTTTTGTGGTCTAATTTAACAAAGTTTAAAAACATATTTTTTTTTTCATGTAACTTAGATTGACAAACAAGCTGACGGCTAATCTTATAAAGAGTGGTAACCGACATAAATGCTTATAGGCATGAACAGTACGATGGATATAACAGGGTATACTGTGCTGTCTATGTTATAATTTAAATAAACCTGTTAAGAAATTATGAATTATAATATTAATAACAATAATTGTTACGTGTCTATTTCGTATAAGAAACAGAATAAGGATTATTGCATCTTATATCTACGTACATGTCATGCGTTTAAGTTTAGCGTGCAGTCGACCGATTGTCGAAAAGGAGGAGTTTCTCAATTTGATTGCATTTTTTTTTATTCTTGTACCTCATAACTCCGTCAGTAACGAACTAAGTCAGAAAATTATTTTTTAAACTTAATAGTCCCATAATTCCGATCCGCAAATTCCGATCCATTTTATCTGGCAACACTGTTGATTGTCTCCAGAATTTTGTTTGTATGTGTGTGTCTTATTATCACAAATAGAATTACTACACAATTTATAAAATACTTCGCTCAAGGTTTATATACATATACATATATATACATTTTTATGTAAATCTTGTAATAAATTTAATATTAAATTACTTGGTTATTCTTTTTGTAGGCAGCGCAAGCTCATTAAAAGATGGGGCAGATGATGGGATCTTTTAATGCTCGAAATGTAGACCTTTACATGGATGATAAACCAACCTTCGATCATCAAGCTGGATTTAATTATGAACGGAAACAGAGAGGTATTAACCACTGCCATTGACTCCTGTTTTGAGAGTAGATTATTAGTATTATAAAATATCTTGTTACATAATGGTTTCAGTATAGGTTAATATTATTATTAATATTATTACAGTCATGAAATATAATTTTATATTCTTTTAATACATATATTTTTTACATGTGTAAGTAATATTTCGACATTAAGCCAAATAATTTTTTTTGTATTAAAATCTTAATAGGAATTAAGTAGTATAGTGGTTTCATTTTGCTATGTAAAGCATAAATTTAAAGTATTTTTATAAAAGATGTTTAATACAATTATTTATCCTTTATTTATTTTTAAATGGTAATGACTTTCTGTTGTGAAGTGGATGATAATTTTATTATTATTTTTATTGTATTACAGAGATGGTGGCTAAAGAAGAAGATCTTATATCAGCTAGAATTCCACCAGCAAATAGGGATTACTGTGCACACTACCTGTTAGAATATCATCAGTGCCGATACAAAAACATGCCTCTATTGTATAAATGTGCTCATGAGAAACACCATTATTTGAATTGTCAGCATCAAGAGTAAGTTGTTATTTCTATATATGTAATTATCTTTGTTGTATATAATTATAAATCATATTTACAATGATTACTGTACTTTCTAGTTGTTTCTATATATAGCTTGTCACCCTTCAAATACAATTTTTATTTAAAATAATTCATATTGCAGTAATTCAAAAGTCATAAAAAAATTCAATTGAATATGTTATAATAAAAACTAAGAAAATACAGTAATCCTGACTGTCAAAATAAAAATTAGTAACTCTTAAATGTTTATTGCATTCTAAATAAAATTATAAATATCCAATTACTTAATTTTTTTTGTTATCTGAAGATGGAATGGTTTATAATATGTAATTCACATCTGATTTTTGCAGTTATGTCCTTCGCATGAAAGAGTTTGAACGTGAGCGCCGCCTTCGATTAAGAGAACAGCGTCTTGTTGGTGTAGCCTAAATAATGTCTCTGTATTAGACAGAATTTTTGTTAATATATATATGAAAGTGTAAATAGAATCTAAATTTATGTTTCCTTTTTATCCCTAGATGAAAATTAGGGCTCTGTTTTGATTACTTTTGATGGTTTTGCTATCCTAATTAAATTTATCATAAGCTTATGGCTTTTTACTATTTGTAATGACAAGTTCAGAATATTATCAATGGGTTTGCTGGCAAAATTATAAATAAAAACTGGTCAAGTGCGAGTTGAATTCACATGCCAAGGGTTTCGTTTATAGATATATAAATATAAAATAAAATTTATTTATTGCATTTCCCTTACAAAATGGATACCTAATAGTTATTTTTATTGATTTTTGATGACAATTCAGAATGTCAGTAATAGTGGCTAAAAACAACCACATAAATAAAACTTAGATTTGGATGCTATGTTTCTACTTGTTTTTGGAATCTAATAGTTTTGTTTTTCCTGTAATATTTACATATATCTTTATAAATTGATTTACCAGAGGGAGACTTTGTACAAAAGTCGATTGCTTGGGTACCTCTGTCCCATTCGTGTTTCAACCGTGAAGCAGTTGTGTTTGCATGGCTGTGTTTCGGTTTGAAGGGTGGGATATGGCGTGAATTTACTGGGTACAGAGGAATAACACCTAAGTCCTCAGGAATGGCAACGCATGGGGGGTATCATGGGCGAAACAGTATACTCTGTTATGTCCACGGTACTGCTCATGTGTATAGGCGACGGTTACCACTTTCCATCAGGTGGGCCGTCAGCTTGTTTGCCATTCTAAGTTCTATAAAAAAAAAAAAAAAAAAAAAAAAAAATATTTCAGATTTTTGCTACAGAATCCTCAGGGGTAAAGGGAAAATGATTTTTTGTTACATTATCGAACATAACAAAAAATCTATGTTTGAAAATCTTTATAGTATTTTATACTATGTCTGTGATAAATAAAAATAATAAGGTCTTTCATATAATACTCAACTTGGATTTGAAAGTTAATTTTGAATTGTTGACTACCTCTTTTGGACCCCCTAATAAAAAATTCTCAAACTTAAAATAATAGTCACAGTCGTCAGACGGACTGATGGATGAGCAGTCATAAGGGTTCTTTTGTACTTTTTTGCTACGGAATCCTAAAAATGTGTACTAGTTATTAGAATTACTGACCTATACCATTACTACAGAATTATATATTAATCTATGATTGCAAGTTATTGTATATGATAAAAAGTAATTGATTGTTAATGAAGGTTTAAAATCTCTATTTCATTTTATAAATGTCTCCATCTGTGCATTTATTAGGAACTCAAAGACATTGGATAAGAGCATAGACACAACACAAAAATTAATGTATTGTGTTTATGAAATTATCAGTACATCAGAAAAAGATAAATATATATAACACTTTAGGACTGAAAGTACTACCTAAATCTATAATAACACTACATACTATTATTATTGTTTCTAACAAATTATTAATAATAGTTAACACTCTTGTTAGTGAGAAATGATAAGTGAGGATAAAAAAACAGGTCAGTTAACCCATCGTAATGAATAAACTTAGAATTTATAACGATGATTTCAAGGGGGGGGGGGAGGGGAGAACGCGGAGGTCGACCTGGTTTTTTATTTGATGGGTGAAAATGATATGGTAACCCCGCCTGCGCTAACGGGATACGCTGGCGGGCTACCGTTTTATCTTTACTGAAATAAAGGGTAATAGATGAGAATGAAAACAGGTCATTTTTTTTGTTTTATTAAGTAGTGCTAATTTAGATCAGTTTAGCACTGCGTTTGGTTTCCCTCGAGACACTGAACCCCTAAAATAAAAACAGTTTAGTTAGCCCATCATGATGAATTCATCAGGAATTAACCATGATTGTTTCCAGGGAGAACCGCGTAGAGGTTCACCTGGTTGGGTATATTGCTAGCAATGGGATTCTTAGTCACCATTACTAACAATTCTTTTCCCCCCAGGTCATACTGGTTAGGTAAAATGCTAGCAATGAGACCCTTAGTCTCCATTGCTAAAACTGGAAACGAGACGAGATATTAAAAAGAAACGAAAAGATTTTAGTATCACTGATTATGGAGTTACATGTTATTATGAGAAATAAAGAAAGCGGAGTTCATTTCATAGACTAGAAATTTAAATGACAACATTGGCCGACAGTCAACAAAATCAATAATGTTGCCATTATTTAAAAATATTGTCTTCAAACTTTAACCATAATGTTGTAAACAACAAGAAAGTGTTTTCCTTGACATATCACATATACAAACATTAAAATTGTACAAACATGTGATAATTTGATAAGCAATTTTATACCTTAAGTGCTTTCGTCAATAAAGTCTTTACAATTTACTGTGACGTCTTTCTGCAATTTTTGTAAACACGCTTGTCGAATACAGAATAGGTACACAATTTCTATAGTCAAATATGCTATTTATTGCGGAAGTAATGGCTTCCTAAAATTTAATTGCAAGCATTATTTTATTAGTGTTAATTAATATAGTAAACAAATAAGAGAATAAATGTAATGTTTTTCAGACATTACAAGTGTGTAAGGTGAATATTTGTTTTATCCGGCTTTAATTTCATGTCTCGTATTATGCCGCGTCCCGTGTACTACAAAGGATCATCCCGAAATGGGATTTGTTTGTATTTGACAAAATTACATTGTTTATTTCTGAGAGGACTGAGCCCTAATTGTTAGGATTGTGTTTTAGGTCTTGAAATATGAAATTGACAATTGAAGAGACAACTTGTAGATGCTGGATATGAAACCAGCAGAATTTTAAGAAGTTGATAATTTTACCATGGGTGATACGGGGGGTGCGAGTGCTCTTAGAAACAAGTTAAAAATGAGAGAGGAAGAGGAGGAAGATTCAGAAGAGACGTGGGATAGCGAGGACGATGATGAAACGATTGCGAGGATACAGCGTGCTCACTTTGCTCAGGCGGCAGCTATGAACCCAAGACGGCGAGCGCCCGCGCGCCCCAAACCCATGAGCCATAAAAGAAAAATGGAAGCAGTTAAACATTTCCATGATTTTACAAAAAAGCTCAAAAAAGACACAGGTATAAGAATTCGAAGTTTAGTTGGAAACAATATATTAGAGTTAAGTGATTTTTCTAGTGAAGCAAGTCAATCAGACAGTGATGGTTTATCAGAAGAGGAATTTGTGGTTAATCCCAGTGCAGTTCAGGAGTTAAATGAAGAAGATAATAGTTACATTGATCCAGAGACAGGTGATATTGTGGAAGCCAAGAAAGATTGTGTAAAAAAAGACCAGCAATTACCCTCGCAAGTCCCATTGGAAGAGAAACCTGAAACGCAACAAGTAGAAGAGCCTAAGACTCTTTCTATTAGTGATATTATTAATGAGGGTGATTTAGATCTAACTAAAAATGTGGAGATAGCAGAGGTGGAAGAAGGTGAACTCTGTCCAGAGAAATCTGCAGATGAATTATTAGGCATAAAACAAGAAGAAAGTAGTCAAGACTTTGATATTACAGAGAAATTAAAGGAAATGGGAGAAATAAGTGTGAAACCTGTAAGTAAAAAAGAGGAAGAAGAAAGTGAACCCTCAAATGAAAATGAAAAAAAAGCAGAGACTGAAGATGAGGTAAGATTTTAAAGGAATTATTATATATAAATAATAATAGTCCATAATATGATAGATAATAAAGAACCAATGTTCTGAAGTTAAAATTAATTTTAATATAATAAAACTGTAATTAGATGATATCTGTACATGAGAGGTATTTAAGAAAAGATTATATGAGCAATGATTTTTGTAATTTTATCCTGTCTGTCTTGTATTTTATCCTGTTTGTTCTAACATCAGGTAAAAACTATTGCACCAAATTGAATTTTTTTTATGCAACTTAGAATGGCAAACAAGCTGACAGCTCACCTGATTGAAAGTGGTAACTGTCACCTATAGACATGAGCAGTATCATGGACATAACAGAGTATACTGTTTCACCTATGATATTCCTCATGCGTTGCCATTTCTGAGGACCAATGTGTTATTCCTCTGTACCCTGTAAATTTACTGCCTTACAAATTTAATGGTTTAATAAAATTTGATATAATTATGTTTTATCTTGATATACTATCTAAAATTGGTTTTATTATTGTACTACTGAAATAAAAGCAGAGAAGTAGCATGAAAAAAGCTAGTAAGTACATAAAAGTATTGCAATAAGTTTTGTGTATATAAATAGTTAGGCATTATTATTATGATAGGTTTCTAAGTTCAGTACTTGTATCATTGTATGTGTTGTGATTACTGTAATGCTTAAACATTCTGTTTAATATCACAATGTCTTACTAATAAGATACAATTGTAATTAAAAATAAATTTATATGAGGAGTCTTAATAAAAGCAATGTTAGACAAAATAATAATTTTGTAAAAACTACTGTATCAAATTGAATGCTGCTTTTACAGTTGTGTTCTTAAATATCTCACTTAAAATCTGGTGTGTGTTTTATTTAGTTATGCCATCTAGAAGCGGCGAACACTTATTTTTAACGTTCATGGGTATGAAGTTGTATGCAAATGTTAATATTTTTTTAAATCTATTAAAAATATCACTTTTACAGAAAAAATCTCTTAACACAAATGCATTGAATGTTCGTCGAAATATCAGAGAGGTAATGGATGAGAAAAATTTAGATGCATCAACCCTTGCTGCTCAAAGGCAAGAATCTGAGCGCTTGGCTCGTGTCCAAGAACAACAAAGAATAATTAGAGAGGTATAAATCTTCTTATTTGTCATATAATGTAATTATGTTTTATGATTTTTCTGACCATTCTTTTGTTTAATATCTGATAGGTACAGAGGCAGATAGCATTAAACCGGCAAAACAAAATTCATCAGAAAACATTGTCATTATTACAAGGTGGATCATCAATTTTAAAGAAAATTCCTGGACAAAAATTAAAGTAAGTTTATTGTACTCTCAAAGATTCTTACTGCCAAGTATCTGGATGTCAATATTAAGTGAATATAAAAATGAAATAATATAAAAAACTATTTTATTAGAATGTTTACAACTTTTTGTTACAGTTTGCCAAACACAGTACTTGTCAAATTGCCTTCTGGTGAAATAAAGAAGACAATGAAGCAAGGGCAAGTGGAAGTTACTAAAGTCCCAAAGCCAACCACATCTGGTGCAATACCTGGGAAAGTAGGTAAAATGGAACAGAAGACTGATAGAAAAGAGGTCAGTAAGTTTATAATTCTTCTAAATTCAGAAACTATATGGCAACTAAGTAACTTTACATTTTTATTTAATTTTTGTAATTTTATTTTTAATAATTATACATTTTTTTTTGGATATTTATTAATAAATCTGTAAATATTTATTAAAATCTATTCATTAGTTTAATATGGAATTTTACATGTACATGCAAATTTATTCCATATAAATTTTTCAATTATAGGTAGTAGAAATTGTCGATAGTAGCAGTGGTGAGGAATCATCATCTTCATCATCAGATTCTGATGATTGCATAATGCTATCGGATTCTGAAGTGCCACCTAGTCCAGAAGCTGAAGAAGATCCTCATAACTCTGGTTTGTTCAGTGTTTTAGTTTCTTGGTTTAGGTACTAATGTAAAAAAGTTGTTTAAAAAGATCTATTTCATAGATATTTCTATTTTCATATCTAGCCTAACTTTAATTTGCTAGATTTAATTATAATTTAAGGACTTTTTCTGGTTTAATCTTTACATTTAGATTGAAAAAATGAAAATATAAATACATATCTTAAAGAATCATATCATCATATCAAACTTTTTGCCTGTAGTTGTCACGCTTGGTAGGCGGATTGGCAACCGCAGTTAGGCTTTAGAGTTGTTTTAAGAGGGATACTGCTTCCCATCCCTCGCCCTCTCTTAGTTGCCTCTTATGGCACTCATGGGAAAGGAAGGGATAGTCTATTCTATGGCCACATTCAGGACCACACGGCAAAACAATCATACTTATATACACACCATCATTTTAATTATTTCTATTGTAATGCAGAAAACCAAATTTTGTTGAAAACCCATCAGGTTGTCAGCTCCACATTTGTTACTATTTTGATGTGTGTGTATCTCTTAAATGAATTCTTAAATATGAGTTAATTTAAATGTCCTTTGTTACCAGGATTACATGTGAATGATGCTTACAATATTCCGGATGAACAAGGCCGAGTTTTAATCAACATAGGACATCCAGAGAATGAAGAAGATATATTCCTGGCTCCACAAATTGCTAGAATTATTAAACCACATCAGGTATATAATTTTTTATAAATATATAATTTTAAATAATTGACTCTGCTTTCATCTTTAACGTTAAGAAATAAGTGTAAGATATTTAAAATGAATTTTTATATTATTACTTTTATATAATTTTTTTTGTTCTTAACCTATAACTACTATGTGCCTGATATAAAGCAAAAAAATTTTTTTTTAATAAATCAAAATTTTTATGTCAGTATTATCAATATTGCACATTGTCTATGGTCCAGAAATTATTATTAAATATAATATTCTTATTTTTTTTAGATTGGCGGTGTAAGGTTTCTATTTGATAACATAATAGAATCGGTGGAGCGATTCTCAACATCGACAGGATTTGGATGCATATTAGCACACTCCATGGGCCTTGGAAAGACTTTACAAATTGTTTGCTTCTGTGATATATTCTTAAGACACACCAAATCAAATACTGTGCTATGCATCATGCCTATTAACACACTACAAAACTGGGTAAGACATTTGTTATTATTTTAATACATGCAACTTTATTTTAGCTAAAATAATCTTTTTCAATATATTATCTTACTCATATCATACAGAAGTTTATTATTTATTGGTTCTCAAAATATTAGTACGCAAATAAATCATATTTTAGTTTAATAATCCTAATTTACAGGATCAATAGTATATAGATAGAGGAAACCGCTAGTATTTTACATGCTTTATCTCCATCAAGATTTAATTGATATTCATAAAATATTTGTGATGTACATTTTATATTCTTTATATTTAGGTGGCAGAATTTAATATGTGGCTACCATTAGATGCGACAAATAGTCCTCTGGCAGCCCACGGGGAGGTCCGAGCGCGTAATTTCCCCATTTATGTACTCAACGATAGTCATAAGACACTTCAAATGCGCGCCAAAGTAGTCAAGGTAATGAGTTTGCATTTTTTAACATCAACAGTGTAAAATTATTTTTTAATATTTTTAGTTAATTACATCATTCTAAATTGTATAAAAAAAATCATTTAAGAGCGGCGTTATTTAATTTAAATCTGAACTATTTTAGTTTTTAGAAAGAAAGTAGTATCTCCATTATAATTCATTACATATAAATATGGAAAATACTTATATGTATATATATATATACATTTATAGTCGGTATATACCTATATCCTCACTTCACTTTTTGTTTACGAACACTTTATAGAACATTCATAGAATAAAGTTTAACTAAAATAAAGTATATATAATAAGTTTAAAAATCAGTATAGCACATAGGCTGTAGCAAACAGATATTGTGTAAATTGGTCGGAATATTATCACTACATAGTATAAAACAAAGTCGCTGTCGCTGTTTATCCGTCCCTATGTATGCTTAAATCTTTGAAACTACGCAACGGATTTTGAAGCGGTTTTTTTAATAGATAGATAATGATAAATTAAGGGGTTTCTAATGTGATGTCGTAAATAAACACATTTTTTGCGCTTACATTGCAAACGCTGGCTGAACTCCACGAGATAAATCCAAATAATGTACTACAGTATTGTACATCTTAAAAAGGGGAACAAAAAAGTCCGCAATGGTATATGTCTATCCGTTAAGAATAACCCGCAATAATCATTTTTTATCCTTTACATTTTACGGGGAAAAATAGCTTATTTACGAAATGATTTTAAGCAATATATAATAAAAAAAGATATTTTTTTATTATATTATATATTATGTAGGTATATTTATTATCAGCATTGTACCCGTGCGAAACTGGGGCGGGTCGCTAGTAACTTATATTTGTCAAATTTCTCGATAAATATTTTGTCATTCATGTCATCTAAGATCTATTTGAGCGTAAGTTGCATAAAAATTAGAGTTTCACGAAAATGATGTATTGGTGGCATTGTTTATATTATAATGTATTTACAATGCACATTTATAGTATTGCAAATTAATCCTTATTAGAATAAATACTTTTATATGTTACTGCGTAAAATGTATAATCTTTGTCTTTTACAGTAAGTAATTTGAGTAAATACTTTATAGGTTACGGCGATGAAAATATTTTTAGTAGAATGTAATTGAACTGCGTGGTGCATGGTGCCAAAAATGTGTTTAAGGAATTAGGAAGTAATTAGTTTGATTGTTTTATATCGATATATTATCGAAATATACGCTGACGAAATAAAAAAAAAAAAGCTAGTATTTAAATATTTTTACATTACATATTTGTCATTATCTTCAGTACCGGTATTTATAAATTATGTTTCTAATATGTTTAGGATTGGTCTACCACGGGTGGAGTACTGATGATAGGTTATGAATTATATAGACTTTTAAGTATGAAAAAGGACAAAAAACCTCGTAAGAAAAAGAAAGCTGATGCGAAACAGGAAACTGAAAAAGAGAAGGAAGAAAAGAAAACTGACAAACTTGACATTACTAATGAAGATACACAGGTATATAAAATTATGAAATCTGTTAAATAGTTGCTTTTTTTCATAATAAAACTTCTCTTTTTCACCCATTGTCTCTATTTCGTTCCCTATCCATTTTGTTCAATAGTAATGTAGTTAAAATGTGCCAAAGAAAATTGTCAAATTACATAGTTTTTGTTTTGTTATAGAATGTATCTTTATTGAAAAATATTAATGCTTCTAATTCAGATGTATTATGTAAATTAAAATCAAACTGTGTAATTCACAGTTCGATTCTAGTTACATCCTGCTGCAACAAATAAAATAGTTGTTTTATAATATAGATTTCAGATGAATCAAAACTAGACAAAGAAGATGGTGATACGCAAGGAAAACTAGAAGTTGAGAACAAAGATGAGGCTAAGAAAGATGAGAAAAAAGAAGATACACCCACTGATGAAGAGAAGAAACTTTTAGATGGTGAGTTATGCTAGTAATTTATTTAATTGTGGTTGTATCTCTCAAGTCACTAAGATTATTTCTTTATAAGAGAAACTTATATTTGTAACGGGTTGGGCCATGTATATCTGTAGTCTGGTTTTTCATAATATCTGGTTATTTTAGAAATGGATAATTTGATTTTCGAATTCTTACAATTTAGTAAAGGTCTTGTGTAATGTCATTAAATGCTAACCATGTAGCATTTCCTTACAAACTTACTTTTCGTTCTTTTGTTCTGTTATAGCAATATTATATATTGTTATATCATCAAGTAGTAATTAAAAGCTGAAACTTACTGAATAGAAATAGAAATTTATTAAAATAGAAATTTATTATTTGACAAAAATATAAAGTTATAACACAAGATACAATGGGTTCCACACTAGGCGAACTTGTATCGTGGGCACCCGATAAAAATTAACAATTCACAATGTTACAATAAAAAGTACATTGTGGGCGAGTATTAATATAAAAGAAAAGGAATATAAAATTGACAACGATCATTTGCTGAATAGGCAATCTCGAAATATCAAATGATATGATACATGAATATTAAATTTGTTTTCTTACAGAGATGTATGAAGCTCTCGTTCGCCCAGGTCCTGATTTGGTTATCTGTGATGAAGGACATAGAATAAAGAACTCCCATTCAAATATATCTTATGCTTTGAAACAGATGAGAACTAAACGAAGAATAGTTCTGACTGGTGAGTTTATATTGAGCATACCTATAACCTGTAAAACATTTTCTTAAGTTTCATTAATATTATCATACCTAATTGCACAACAATTAATTCATTACCCTAAGGTTGTCTTGAAAAGATTGCCCTCAGCAATAAGACCGCCTTATCGTACTTATACAATTGTATCGTTATATTCATTAATTGTCTTGCTTATTTCCTATATTGTATAATGCAAATAAAGTATACTCATTCATTCATTCATTAATATATTAATGCACATAAGAAATTAAATAACAAATTACGAATACTTAACAAGAAATCAAACTTCCAAATATAAATTAAGTATTTCTGATCTAGTATTAGATGAGAATTATGTGTCGAATTAAAATATATATAATGTGCCTTATAAAACATGGTCTTATAAGACACATTATATATATTTTAATTCAATCAACTTCACTATGTGGCTGCTCTTTTTTACATTTTTCGTTAAGTATAGTTTGTTATGCATATGCATACTTCATTAATATTGATATATGAATAAACAACTTAAATTTCAATTCAATTTCGTATCTATTATCTTATTACAGGATATCCACTCCAAAACAATCTCCTTGAGTACTGGTGTATGGTTGATTTTGTTCGGCCAAACTATCTCGGTAGCAAAACAGAGTTTTGTAATATGTTTGAGCGTCCAATACAAAATGGTCAATGTATAGACTCTACGCCGCAAGACATACGTCTTATGAGATATAGAGCCCATGTACTGCATTCCTTACTTGTGGGGTTTGTGCAAAGGTGAGTGAACTATAATAATAATCACATAATTTCTAAAACAAATCTTACTGTTGAAATTTATATAAATTGACATCATTAAGAAATATTGCTGATATCAATAATTTGTGAGCATTATTTAATGTTTTTTATGATATAAAAATGTTGATATAAACACCTTTATTATATTTGCAGACGATCGCATGCAGTGTTACAGTCCACCTTGCCGCAAAAAGAAGAGTATGTACTTTTAGTACGTATGACGCCATTACAGAGGAAGTTATATGATAGATTTATGAATGAAGTGGTTCGGTCTACATCTGTTCCTAACCCATTGAAAGCGTTTGCTATTTGTTGTAAGGTAAGTTAATTTTTTCTTATTTATATTTTATATAAAAAAATCACCAAATGTGTTACTAAATGCTAAATTCTATATTTTTGCAATAAATATTTGAAATGTGAATATGGTTTGAGTACCAAGTAATAAATGTTCATGTGACATTAAAAATAATTAATTATGAATTGAATTTGAACTCCATATTGTTACAAATATTTCAGATATGGAACCATCCAGATGTTTTATATAACTTTCTTAAAAAACGAAGTGAAGCAAATGCTGCCATTGAAGAAGATTTGGATCTAGAGGAGTTGGGTGGTGTGACAAAAGCTGGTCGTGCTAGGAATAAGGCACCTCCGCGTAGAGCCGCTAAACCTAGGGTAATTTATTTTTCTTTATAATTTTCTGTTATTATGTATTATTTCTCCTTGTTATCTTTTTTTCTAAAGACCAAAGTGCCAGTTATCTTTCTTCCTATTGTTTTTTTAAAGTTAAGTATCAAGTAAAATGTTTATATATATACTTATTTAACTTATAACCTTTACAGGGTAACTCAAAGAAACCAGCGGCAACTATTCCTCCAAATACTACAACAGCGCCAGCTCCCCCTCGATCAGACTCCAATGTATATGGTAACCCACCATACCCACCTAATGGACCATATGGACCTCCCAATGCATACAGACCGGAGCAACCTAGCGGTTCTTATCCGCCCTACCCAAATTATCCGAATCCAGGACCTGGTTACTATCCTCCAAACCAGAATTATAATCAAAATTATGATAATAATTATTATCAACAGCAACCACCTTATAATAATGATTACCCTAATCAGTACCCTTCAAATAATTCCAATTGTACTCCAGGATATAATCAGAATTACTGGGGAAATGGCAATTATTATGGTGGTGGTAATTCTGGTGGTTACTTAGTGGATAATGCACAGTATCCAAATAATCAACCACCACATGACTATAGAAACAACCCACCTCCTGAATACAATAATCCACAACAATATCCACCGAATTACAACACACCTTCAGGAGAACAACCTTATCCTGATAATGCAATGCAACCATACTCAGGTAATCAGGAAGCTTATGGAAACCAACAGAGACCTCCGTATCCGACGTATAATCAACCAGGGTACCCAGAATATAGTGCTAATACTGCGTCGCCTTATCAAAATAACACACCCTCACAAGAGTACCCAAATCATCCTTACCCACCGCCTGCATATGCTGGCAATTCTTCATATCCACCTAACACATCCAACACATTTAATCACTATGATGGCTCTCAAAATTATCCAGGGTATCCAAATGCCCCAAACAATCAAAACAATGTGCCACCTGTTCAAAATTTACCCAATCAGCCGGTAAAAACGGAATCAACTATTACTCCAACTTTTCCAACAAATGAGACTAAACCTGAACCTAATATGTCTCAAAATGTGCCACCTACACCATATGGAGATCCAAGCTATGCATATCAAACAAATACGCCAAGCTATCCTGACCAACAAGGAAACACTAATGGCAATTATCCTTGTCAATATCCTAGTTTTCCAGCACATTTAGAAACTAAACCTCCTTTGGGAAGTGCAAGTTCGGGAAGTCCAGTTACATCTTGGCCTATCACAGAGATTAAGACTGAGATTGACAAATTGAAAAGTGAAGAAAAAATTGAAATGAAATCAGAATCAGATGGTGAAGTTAAAATTGAAGACTTGGATACAAAAAAAATTGTTAAAAATGAAATAAAAAAACAACCAACAGATATGGTTCCACCTACAATTACTAAACCAGAAAACTCAAAGAAAAATGAAAAGGACACAAAAAGTGATGTTTCTGAATCTGAAGAAGTGGATACCCCAAAGAAAGGAAGGTCGAAAGGTAAAGGTAGGGAAAATAAGAAGTCAGAAAAGGCGAAACCTAAGAGTAGATCTAAAGCTAAAGGCAGAAAAGACAGAAAAAAGTCGAAGGAGAAAAATGACAACGATTCCGAATCTGAAGATAGTGACAAAGAAGAAAAACCTAACAGGGAAGAAGAATTGGCCATGGTCAAAAAGGCAGAAGAAATGACTTACGATTGGGCATCTGAATTATTGAAAGATTATATACCAGGTATAATCGAAAATTCTGCGAAGATGGAATTGTTTTTTTATATTTTGAATGAAAGTATTAAGCTTGGCGATAGAATATTATTATTTAGTCAAAGTTTGTTTACATTGAATTTGATTGAAGATTTCTTAGAGAAAAATTATATTCCTGGAACAAATTGCTTGTGGGAAAGAAATACAAGTTATTATCGTAAGTATTTACCTTTATATAAAAGAATTTATACATAATTGTTTAATTTCCTATTAATTATAACAAAAAAGATACAATTATCACTTTTGTTGATTAATTGGTAATTTTAATTGATAATTTTAACCAAAATATTTTTTTATACAGGGTTAGATGGATCTACGCATGCTCTTGAGCGCGAAAAACTAATAAACGAATTTAATACCAACCCACATATCTACTTGTTCCTGGTGTCGACGCGCGCGGGTTCTCTCGGCATCAATCTTGTGGGTGCGAACCGTGTCATCGTCTTTGATGCTAGCTGGAATCCTTGCCATGATACACAGGCTGTCTGTCGGGTGTATAGGTAATGTATCCACTTTATTATATCTTCACATACATCGTGATTTTTCTATTCGTAATCTATTAATCCACTGTAACTCAATATTTTTCAATGGTTCACTGTCAGACATCTTTCTATCACTACTTAGAGCTACGTGGGACCACGTGGAGGTCCACTTGAATAGGAAGCACTGCTAGTAATGAGGCTGGAATTTCCCATCACCTTTCCCTCATGATTAACTTTGTTCCAGGGAATGTAAAAATAAGTCAATGGGAAACAATTTTATATTCACATTTATTATATTAGTGTCTTAGTAAAATTTTTTTTTCTTTCGTAAATAAATCATCGTTAAAGTACAGTTTACATTTGTTTATTATCTTTATCTTTTAGGTACGGTCAACGAAAACCTTGTTTTGTATATCGCTTCGTGATGGACTGGTGCCTCGAAAAGAAAATTTATGATCGTCAAATCAACAAACAGGGTATGGCGGACCGTGTCGTCGACGAATGTAACCCAGACGCAGTACTATCTATGAAGGAAATCACCAATCTTTGCTTTGATAATGATGAAAAGGTAACATTTGATTGTACTGTTATCCATTTTTATTTGATGAACAGTTTTGGTTTCCAGTCTCTATGTTACTAAGATATTTTTTTTTGATGGGTGAAAATGGTATAGTAGTAGCCTGCGCTACCGGGATACGCTGGCGGAGCACCAGTGAACGGTGATAGATGAGAATGAAAACAGGTCAGTTAGCCCGTCATGATGAATTCATCAGGAATTAACCATGATAGTTTCCAGGGAGAACTTCGAGGAGGTCGACCTGGTTGGGTATATTGCTAGCAATGGGATTCTCAGTCTCCATTACTAACAATCCCTTTCCCCCCAATTACTAAGATATTTAATGATTCTACATATTTGACCACATTGTAAAACCTGTGTAAGCCACTGATTGTTTTTTAGGAATCTGAGCCAAAAGATCTATCAGCATTTAAAGACAAATACATAGACGTATTGATGCAAGGAATCATATCTGATCATGGAAAACTCCTCAGCAAGGAACCATTCCAACATGAGTCACTACTAGTTGACAGAAAGGAAAAGAAGTTATCTAGTGCAGAGAAAAGACTTGCACAAAGAGGGTAATATATTATGTTTATTGCAATTTATGCAGCATTTGAATGGAATATTATTGTTTATTGTTATATTGTTTTTTTTACTCATGGACTTTAGCTACCCTCTAACAACCTGCTCTCCCACTGTATTGAGTTTACTTAATGAGATCTTTTTCAGAGATAAATCCTTAAATATTTATATTTTTATATATATTTTCCTATAAATATTTATAAACATATTATCTATGTAATTTACAAGTGATATATATATATATATATATATATATATATATATATATATATATATATATATATATATATATATATATATATATATATATATATATATCAGTCTGAATTCATATAAATCTATTGTAATGTTTTGAATTTTCTTTGAAATGTACTCTTTAACATAGATTAAGAATTATTCTTGCGGTTTAGGACCGATTCTTAATTAAAGTGGATCAGTAGGTTTTAATTTTGATGAATAAAGAGGAAGAGGATTTATATATAAAGGTTGTATATTATGTATATGTCTGGGGTAGATATGAGCTAGAGAAGAAGGCGGCGCTGGCACCGAAGCCGGCGGCAGCATACCGTACTGTACGTACGGCGGATGGCAGCGTGGTGCAGCGGCCTGTCGCCTCCGTGCGACCCATGCAACATGGCGCGCGCTGGATCCCTGCCGACGTGTGGCGCCGCCAGGGCATGACCGCGCAAGAAATGACGCTGCCATTAGGTAACTGATATCACACACAAGCCTCATTATTATTGCACACAACATCCTACTACACCACACTTTACGTACACTACTCCATTATACCACATTATACACACGTTCAAAACGTCACATTATACACACATCCAAAACGTCACATTAAACTTCCACACCATTGTACAACATAAACACATTGCATCATCATCAAGTACAGTGTATAATATGTGTAAATAGTTATCTCTTTTATTTAATGTGTATTTGTTATTTTCATCTATCCATATTTCATTCATAATAGTACTAATATTGACATAATAACACTCATAATAGTATTAAATATGAATAATATTTAACTCATATTATATTTTTATTTTAATAGATGTAGTGATTCCAACAAATTCAGCTGAGAAAACGAATATCGTATTGAAAGCTGGTCAACGTGTTATGGTGTTAAAATCACCGAAGGGAATTTATATGCAGCTTGAATCTGGGAAGATTATTGCTATCAAGACTTCATTTAAAGGCTTAGGACAAAAAGGAGGAGATAATAAGGACAACCCTGTCGGAAAAAAAGGTATGTAAAAATTGTGATAGTTCTATTATGTAGTTTTGCTTATGTAAATAAAAAGAATTCTGTGTTAATTTAGGATCTGGTTTAGCAGTTTACCATAGTTTATTTAAATCCACTATAAGCATCTTTGAGTAATAGAGATCCAAATATCTTAGTAAAGTTTAACATTTATAATATCATTTTTTTTTTTTAATATTATATAAAGTTTTACTAAAATGATTTTTTCTCTAGTTTTAGGTGGTCGTCCAACATCCACGAATATACCTGGCTCCCTTAAAAATAATTCAGCAATAACAATCACATCTAAAACGGGCGCGAGACCTGGTTATCAGCGAGTTTTAGCTCGACCCTCGATGGTTGGTCAAAACAAGTTAGCCAGACCTATGCTTCCAGGTCAAAAAATAGCCGATATAAGAAATCGACTAGGGGAATTAAGAGCATATTCTGGTATGCGTCCAAGAACACCTCTTCAACATGGAAGGATAATGCGTCCAAATTTGTCAGGATCTGTAAGCATAACGAAAATAACGAAAGATTCCAAGAAGTCAGATAATGAAAATAATGAAAATAATACTACAAATAAAATGGATGTTGGTTCTGAAGATGACACTCAAGTATTAGATAGTGATGACGAAGTTTCCTACAAGCAAAATAAGGCAGAGGCATCGTCGAGTAATAAATTTAAGAATAGCAATAATAGAATTGAACATTCAGAAGATTCCAAATCTTCTGATGGTACAGAAAAATCTAAGAGTGAATCTGAATCAAAAAGGTCTGAATCTATTGTTCTTACAACAGATGAAAAATTACCACCAGAAGAAAATTTAGAAACCAAAACTGCAGATCATACTATTGATATGTCTATGGCAGCACGTGAAAAGGTTGAGCAATTCGAATCTGCCAATGCTGCTGATCGTGTGGAGAGAAAAATCAATTTACTGAAAAATTACAGACATCAACGCTTAAGCAGCAGACCCCAGACTGAATCGAGTTTAAGTCAATTAGAAAGAACTGCAAGTGTACTAAATAAAGAAGGAATGCCCGATTTTCGGAAAAATTTAGATGACATAACTCAATCATATTCTCCAAGTAATGATGAAAAACCTAGCATTAAATCTAAGAAGAAAAAATCTCCGAATAAATCAGAATTAGCAGTAGAATCCCAAATTAACGAAAGGCAGCTTCCATCTAATTCTAACATGTCCCATAGTGTAACAAATCTCTTAAGTTCAGGCAACGCATCGCAAAAATGTAGAAAAAATGAACAAAATACTGCCCCCGTTGCGCCATTAGAAAATACTGCACTCAATTCTCAGTCTAGAATAATCAGTAGACCACCGATGTCTAACGTGCCCCATGACATGTCGATAAGTGGAATGGCCCATCCACATATACTCCCTGGACAGCCTTTGAGGCCTGCTAAACCACAACCAACCAGTGTAGTCCATGCTGGTATGGATGTCACAAAGAATTCAGCATCTCCGAATGTAGCGCACTCTCAGAGTCCCATGACGCCTCAGGCATATCCACCTGCCAACCCTCCACCAGAGGGTACTTATGGACAATATCCAGGTAAATATCACTTATCACTGTTATTTTCTATTATGATTTAAAACTAAACAATGTAACTTATTATAATTTAAAGCTTTAGTCACGAGAAATAATTTCAAACTTGACAAAATTAATATCGGAATAACACCAGAGACCTTAACATGTCGTTAAATAGGATCAATAAAATAAATAATGTCGCATTAGATATACAAAATTGAGAACTTCCTTTTATAAATGAAAATATTAATCGTGAATGAGTGTTAAATCTTTGGGAAACTTTTATCGTCATAATAAAATTTGAATAATATCTGGCATTACAGAAATTTTATTTACAAGACATACTTATGGCATGTTAGTTCGCGTTGATTCAAAATTTTGCCCTTCATATGCAGAGACTAATGCATGTCCTAAGAAAAAATGTAATTTAACGTATTATTTATTTCTCAGCTTATGGAATGCCGCCGTACGGGACATACCCAAACCCGGCGTATTACGGCGGGTATGGCAGTGCAGGCTATTACGGTCCGTACAGCGCGGGGGCGCCACCGTACTCGGGAGCGATGCAGGGCGCGGGGCCGGTCGCGGGCGCGGTGGCGGGCGCGCCCCCGCTAAACGCTCCCGACTACCTACCGCCTAACCCACAGTGGTAAACTCCCAGACTGAGGAATATCGGCAACCGATATCGGGAACATTATATCGCGAATCGCTACGATACGGCGAGTCCCGTACGCGGGTGCGGCGTGACTGATTTTTACGTTTATTGCGTACGTACGTGTAGTGTGGCTTTAAATGACGTTACTGTGACGATTTCTAAACTAGACGGCAAATGACTTTTACGTCGTGTTAAGTTGATATTTCTGTATGGATATTCGGTCTGTATTGATTGCAATTTCTCCTTACTATTTATAAGAAATCGTTCTATTAATGTTAAACACTTTCAGTCACTTGTTAAAACGACAAAAGAGTGAAATATTAAAATTTCTTTTACATTTATGGGTGAATTAATGTCCATATTTATATGTTTAAATAAAATTTTAAACTTATGCTCCTTTGCGATGTTGATTTTTAAAACAGCATTTACACTTCAATTACAATTTGCGGCAGATAATTTGAACAAATGAACAAAACTATAGGAAATAAATAAAACTAATAAAAGAATAAAACCATAGTTTAAGCAGTAAATATTTTTATACGCAAAATTACTACTGCTTATGTAATGGTACTTAAATCTTGTTCAAGTCATTTTCCGTTACTTGTACATTGATTGAAGGCGATTAACAGACATCAAGTACTTATTACATGTATTTGAAATAAATGTTAATGAGTATACGCAGTTAGAATTTTTTATGAACAAATTTAATTTTAACCATATTATTGTCTAAATTCTTGTATTATTACAATATAATATAAATAGTTGGTGAGTGTAGAAAAATTTCAAGTACAGAATATTCAACCCCATTAGTATGAATGGTTAGATGTTTAGTAAAGTCTTTCCATTACTGTGGCTATGGATTGGTCGATGGATGTGATACGTTGCTAATCTAGTATTAAGTCGAATATAGCGTGTATGGAATATTTATCAAAATATTTTAGCTTAGATAGATAGGCGCCCATAGGTATCCTAGATTATTTAGTTCTCATTTAATCATTCAACAGGACCGTGATAAGTGTTTATTAATATATATACAAATTAGATGTATGCAGTTTCTATGCGTATAAACCGTTTATCTGATCTTATTTTTGTGTTTTAGCACAATGTGATCTGAACGTGGAAATCTATTATGAACCTATCTTAGGAAATTATTTGTAAATTTCTATTTTTTCTTTGGTGTGTTTTTGAATATAATTTTATTTGTATGCATTTTAGGTTGTGTTTCTAAGACAGTGAGATTATTAAGCAGGCTCAAAGCTTTTTCTTAAAAATGTTTTACTGATTTAAAAATGCGACTTTTTTACACTAATGTATATTTTAATACGAAGTGAGTGACCAGTGTATGTATTGTATATAGCAATGTCTTTTTTAGGTCTTGCCTATAATTATGGCGATAGAATTTTGCCTAAGTTGTAGAATTATCCTTAAATCATACTCATCTCTATTGATTTATTATATACAGAATCCCTTATACGAAACATCATCGTAATTATTAGGACTTAAAAAGAATTAGTGAAAGATTAATAGTTTAAAAATTATTCAAAGTATAATTAAAATTGAAGTCTGATTTAGTGATGTCACAATGGTAGTAATAATGTATGTTATCCTTCAGCAGTATTATTTATTTACTTATGTATGTCATGTACCTATGCCATTTGGAATGTAAGAGATTTATGGACTAGTATAACACAGTTCAACTTAATTTTTTTTTAATATTTGAATTTGGTAGAAGTTTTTTAGAAGTGTGAATTTAATTAAGAAAAGCCTACTAATTTATGACATCGATTTTAGCTTAATTTTTGTGTGTACTTTTAATCTGCATACACACCAGAAAAAAAGTAGAAACATCTATACTACTTTTAAATTAATATATTTTTTCTCTTTATTTATATGTTGTCCTGTGTACAAATAATATTCGGCATTACTGTTCGAAGTGATACATAACATTGCATTTTAAATTGGTCAGATAGTACTGTACCGGAGATATCCAATAAAGAAATACCGTAACAGTATTTGTGATTTCATTATATATTACCGAGAGAGACTTTGTACAAAAATCGTTTGATTGGGTACCTCTGTCTCATTCGTATTTCAACTGTGAAGCAGTTGATTGCGTGGCTCTGTTTCGGTTTGAAAGGTGGGATATGGCAGTGAATTTACAGGATACAGAGGCATAACACTAGTTTTCAGAAACGGCAATGCATGGGGGGGGGGGGGGGTTATATGGGCGAAACAGTATACTCTGTTATGTCCATGGTAGCGCTCATGTCTATAACAACAGTTACCACTTCCCATCAGGTGAGCCGTCAGCTTGTTTGCCACTCTAAGTTGCATAAAAAATATAATATTTAATAACTGTATGTTACATTACCGCTTAGTCCCGTTTTTTTTGCTTAATTGCATAAAATTCGGTATCGACGTATCGTCAATGACCAGCACAGCATCATGAACTTGTGTTGCGATAACTTTCTAATGTAATCCAAATATATTTAGTAGGTATAGTTATTTTGAAAATTGTTAGAATGTAACTATGCAGCTTTGTCCTCAGAGAGAATTTCCAAAAATTTCAAGAAAAGATCATGTCACCACATAAAGAACCGACTGCATTTGGTTTGGAGAAGATGTGCTTGGTGTATAAAGGGACGTTCAAATATTATGTAACGCAATTTTAGAAGATTTTTGACTCCTTCTCATTCCATGTAACGTGTCGTAACATTTTGCTCTCCTCCACTGCCATCCCTATAAGTCACATAACACCTAAGCGATTATTCTTACCTAAAAGTCAACTAACGATTGTTGACAACGAAAACAAAAATAATGTATAACACTGTCTAGGGATTCTCCGTAAAATAATGGGTTTTGTGAATGGATGGATAATTGCCAACTTGAACGATTTTAAACCCAAGTTTTTTATTTAAATATAGGTTTCTCCAAAAGACTATAGTATGGGGTTCTTCAAAAGAGGTGTAAAGCGGTTTCTTTAGAATCGGCAATACGCGCGTAATGCCCCTGGTATTGCAGTCGTTCATGGGCTACGGTAGCTGCTTACTACCAGGCGGGCCGTATGTTTGTTTGCCTACTCAGTGGTATAAAAAAACTTACGTAACGCGTTGTTCGAATCTCCCTCCCTCCCGTGTAACCCCCCGTATTGTTTTACAAACATTTACGAATGCTTACAGTTTTTAAAAACATCACTATTCTAAAAAAAATTGTTGTATTCACAATGTAGTGAACTTGAAAAGAATCGCTCTTCCCTCGCTAAATATTTTAACTTCTGGAAACATTAAAAATTATGCGTAGATTTGTTTATAGTACCATTAAACGATTGAGTGAGATGCACAGAGCAAGTAATTATAATGAGATGTTTAGTATCGATAACAGAAAGAGTTTGGGTCGGCCTCGCTCTTTTCGAACTTCAGCTGTAGACAAGGCAATAAAAGCTCGAATTAGAAAAAATCTGCTAGAAAACAGAAGTTGATGGTATTGTAAATGGGATTAAGTAAATACGGTATAGAAGGTGCTAAATGTAGATCTTGGACTACGTGCCTTCCGAAAAAATAGGGTATTTTCTAAATTAGAGCTGCCCAAATCATGGCCCGCGGGCCACATGCGGCCCAGGTCTTGAATTGATGCGGCCCGAGGCTTGAATTAATGCGGCCCGCTAATTTTCATAGCCCTGTTCTTAATAATCGTTAATGGAATTGCATGTCGGAAAATGTCGGGTTTTGTTGAAGGGGTACGGTTGATTTGGAACTCCTTAGTGAAACAAACATTAGGTGTTGCAATACAAGATTCACCACAAGCTACACAAACATGACTATTATACGTACTTATATATACTTAATACTTATAATTATTTTCCTTAATGTTTTACTCTGTTAATTTTCTTAATTATACAATACCTACTTGTACAACAATTAGTTCATTACCCTAAGGTTGTCTTGAAAAGATTGCTCTCAGCAATAAGACCGCCTTACTGTATTTATACAATAGTATCGTTATATTTATTAATTGTGTTGTTTTCCCCCTATATTGTATAATGCAAACAAAGTATACTCATTCATTCATTCATTCATTCTTGATACACAAGCATGAATAAAATTTACTTCATACAACTTGAAGATTGGCTCTCATTTAGACCTGATCTTAACCCGCTGAACTATTAAATATGGCAGTACTTACAGGAAAATGTATTCCTGAGGTTCACTCACAAAAATTTGGACTCCTCGAAGGCATCACTCATAAAAGTAGTAACAAATATTGACATGAACGTTGTTCGTGCCGCTATTGATAACTGGCCCCGAAGGTTAGAGGCTAGTATTTAAAATGGGGGGGGGGGGGGGGGTATTTCATAATAATATAATAATAATATTGTTAATATAATGCGTTTACAAGTTTAACATGACAAATTAAGTTTTACATTTCAGTAATAAAAAATTATATTAAAATATCTTTTTTTTATTTTTTATTTTATGCCCTAATGTCTGTGTGATAAAATTAAGTTAAATATAATAATTACTTTAGTTCTTCTAAGAAGAGAAGTACCGGGTTAAGAAAATTGCTTAGATATCCAAGAAAAATAAGTGTGAAACTAAGTCCACACTTTTTGGAATTTGTTTCTTGGTTTATGTGTTTGTTGATGTCATTGTACACAAGTATTTACTCCGTGGCACAGACATGTCTCAAGGAACACATATTTCATACAAGGCTGGTAGTTGCGTTTATTTCTGCAACTTTGAAAGATAAAGAAGCTGATAATAAATAGTAATCATTAATAATAACACTATAGATTTCTGAAGAGTTCAGTAGTATAGGTAGCACGCAGGTTTGCGAGGTGCTCTAGACCAGTTAAAACTACGTTATTTAGATCTTATTGCACATCTTTCTATGCATGCAACCTGTGGGCTGTATATACTCAAAAATCCTACAGCGACCTCCGTATCTAATATAATAACGCGTTCAGGGTGTTGATGGGGCTGCCACGATTCTGTAGCGCGTCAGGGATGTTCGCAGAGCATCGTGTAGATTGTTTTTATGCCACGATGCGAAAAAGATGTGCATCCCTGGTGCGCAGAGTATGTGCCAGCGCCAACAGCATCCTGAGTATGATAGCAAGCAGGCTGTGTGTACATTAATCACTGCTGCGCAATTTCCAATGGAATTGTACAGCGGTAATTATCTGTATATTATTTAATATATTATGTGTGTGTATGTGTTTGTGTGTGTGTGTGTATTGTGTATGTAAATTTACTAACATTAGTTTTAAGAATATTGTTACTAATAAATATTTAATGGACCAAAAAAGTCCGAAATAAAAATTATTATTATTATTATATGTTTTCGTATGCCTGGATTTTTTTTGCTGTTATAAGTATTTCATTGTAATTTACAATTGAATTTAAAGTAGAAATTTTATAATTTTTATTCTGGAACAGCAGAAATTAGAAGCGATAGTGGTTAATTTGTCACGATGGACCACTGACCGCACTGATTGAATTTATCTTCACCTATCATTGTTCATTGGCAGTGATACCGTTAAAAAGGAGTTCAGTTTCGTAATTACTGTTGATGGATTTCGAATCGAATTATATATAAATATAAATACACTCAATTCCTAATGGGGTAGTCAAGGTAATTGTCATTTGATGCCGTTGCGGTCAACATCGACATGCGACATACATATTAAGGGTCGACATGGCAAGAGACGAGTCTCCCGTTGATATCCATGTTTTTTTTTTTTTTATCAGTGTTTCCTATTACTGGAGAGGTAATAGGAAATTTTAAATTCCCTTTTTTTTAGTATTGTCAGATTCGAACTCACGAGGATTGTGGTTTGTAAATCGATGTAATACATGACTGGAATAAGATGGTCTCACTTCTTGAATTACTATGTTTTCAAATAATTATAATTCGTTATCAAAGTGCATAAAATATAACTTTGTTATGGTGTGGAAGGACATGAAGATCAGATTCTGATGGTGTCTGGTGTAATTATAATATAAAATAAGTCACGAACGTGCGTCTAATTGTAGATTCTTGTGGGTTTTCCTTGTTATTTGTTGCGTTGAAATCAAATAAGCAGGTACCCATCTATTTACTTTGTTATCTGTTATTATATTATTTTTGTACGCATTACTTTTTAGTTCAATGAATGCAAAATGAATGTACAATATTTGTAAAATATCTTTTTATTCATATTGTGTCATAAGAAAAAAAGTACGTAATATTTTTCAAAGGCACGTTACCAGTATATTGGCTAGTCTAGTAGGTATATAACCGACCATACAATGAAACAACTTCAAAAGGAAGATTTATTAATTTGACAGTTTTTTTGTATTTATGTAATGTGATATCTTTGTAAATTTTAAACTGATTTTGATGTTTTTATTTGGTGTCGTATGTTTATACATTCTCATATCTTATATTTTATAAGAGACGGGAAATACCGCGATCATTTAAGTAAATTATGATAATTTATAGAATTATCACGACGTTTCGGCCAGATTACACAGGTTAAAAAACATAAAATATGTCGTGTGAAAGTCTAATAGTTAATACACATCCATATCAATTTTGTCACAACTTAAGAATTTTTAGTACCTATTTAGTACCTTTTAGTGTACCATTAAATGTGTGATACGATTTTTTGACAAGTATATAAGTAGTTACTAGAAGAGATTACAAGTAAATTAAATTCCTTGGTTCAACAGCCCAATGGCAGTTATGCTAACAAAGACGTGAATTTACTGGGTACAGAGGAATAACACCTGAGTCCTCAGGAATGGCAACGCATGGGGGGGTATCATGGGCGAAACAGTATATTCTGTTATGTCCATGGTACTGCTTATGTTTATAGGCGACGGTTACCACTTTCCATCAGGTGGGCCGTCAGCTTGTTTGCCATTCTAAGTTGTATAAAAAAAAAAAAAAAAAAAAAAAAAAAAAAAAGACAGGTTTTCGTTAGTAACCTAGCAATACTACAGTACTGAAACTTATTAAGTCTACATATACT